TAAGGTATATCGAGGCAATACGCACAGTATGCACATATGCCAATTAGAGACTGACCAGTTGCAGTCCTAACAAATCGATGGGAAGATTCAAACAAACAATACTAAGTTGAATATAAGGAGAGACAGCCTGAAAGGAACATTGAAGTAGAGCTAGAAGGCAGTGAGTAGGACTTCCCTGTCAGAGGCTATATACGCGTGGCCATATGAGAGCATTTGAAGAGGGAGAGCAGACTCTCCCCACTCTCGTCCGTACCAGGGCATTTGGGGGCAATAGTGAGGTTAGACACAGGGTATTAGGGAATGATGGCAAATCAGTTGATGAGGTTGTGAATAATCAGTGACTAAGATGGTTGGGCCACGTATCACATATATCTGAACACCGATTACCACGACGCGCAATGCTGACTAGTATAAGGGATGATTGGAAGAAAGTTAGGGGTGGCCAAACCAAAACGTGGCATAAGTGCTGGAAGTCGCTAACTTCTAGTCTGAACCATGTTGGTAGATGCAGACTACTTGGTTGGGGTCCGTGTGACTATCGTAACTATTGGTTGGAGACTGTGTGACATGACTCAGAATCGATCACAATGGCGCAGGTGTATACACTCTTTATCTTCCCTTAAAAGATTAGATTAAAATTGCTTCATATCTTTCTTTCTTCCTGTACTATATCCTTTTATACAATCTTTCTTTCATATATTACCACTAATAAATTAACTATTTCTATGAATTCAGTGTTCATCTTGTTGTGCTAATGAGGTTGTGGCAACTTGAACCGATGCATATATGTGCCTGGTCCCACGTTGTAGCTGACTGACGCTCATTATTAGCCAGTGTGCTAGTAAGTTGCCTACCAGATAAAAGATCATATACTCAACTTTGAGTGTTACTTTATTGTCTGAAGGATAGTAAGCACTGTCTGACCACTCATATTGGAGGAAGGACGGTGGAATTAAAACCTTACAATATGGTAGTTGAAAATGCAATACCTTAACCTTCTCATTCTAATTAGTCTACTAGAAAGTAGTCAGAAAGTTAATACAGTATATGATTACTGTGTAGTTAAGATACATTTGATCAATGGATTTACTTGTGTACTAGCCATATTTCTTAGAAAAGTGTCCAAATGCTGGGAAGAATAACCACTGCTACAGACGATGTTACCTGCCGGATAATCAAAGGATAAATTTGCTCTCACGTAATCAGTACGGGAGAGTACTTTGTAATAAGACCTACCACCCTACCTATACTTCCGTCTTAGCTTGTAAACTCAATATAATATATTTTTTAAATTTCGTAAAACCCATATTAGCATATCCAGTCGTATGACTGAAATAACAGAATAATTTCAGAATTAGCAATGAAGTGAATAGAATTTTAAGATGGGAATGTTTTCGGCCAAGATCTTTGACATCCTATCTCAAGCCTACTAAATCATCACTTGAATAAACTAGCTGACTTCGGAGATGCAAAGTTTTTTCGTATCTATCCTGTATCACATTTTTCAACCAGCCTAAAATGGTCAGTACAACCTAAAATAGTTGTAGTTGTCTACTCTCTTACACGTTTCTCTATGTAGTCAATAAAGTTGGATAAAAAATAATGAACAAATTTGTCAAATGAAACTGGTATTCGTCAAATGATTTAATACTTTGTAACTTCTCACATCACTATGAGTTCAAGTAGAATGTTCACATTATAATATAGCTGTTTGAAACGCATACAATGTTAATACAAAGCCTCTCAAATGGAAAATTAAAACTTTCCCAGACTAGACGATGACGTTGATAGTTTGAGACCTTTGACATTTTTGTATGTATAATATACAATCAGTTGTGAACTGTTACGTCTGTAATCAGTTTATAAACGAATGGAGTGCAAGAAACATGTGAAAATCGTTATAATTATAGTAAACAGAGTAATACAATTGATAGTAATTACACCCGAAAACAGTAGTAAATTGACCATAATCATGGTGATAATAATAATGGTAATATATACAGTCCCTTTTATAATCTTGAGGAGAACATCAATGAAGATTTGAGCAGAATGACATGCATTTATTTAATCTCTCTTGGTTCTCATCAGCCGCCTTCCTAAGCCTGTTAACTCGTAGAGGATAGGTTGCCGACCAGCAATCTTCAACCATATTATGGGCTCTCCTTCCACGTTGTTGCTAATTGCTATTCATTCTTTTGATATCTGCATCCGATCTCCGACTCGATGTGTTCTTTGACTCTGCCTTTTTTCTTTTGCAATAAGGATTTTAAGTTAAGCATTTCCTCGGGATGTAGTCTAATGATTTCCCCAATTTATGTCCTATCCACCTCCAGCGTCTATTTCTAATTCCCACTTCGGCTGTAATCTGTAAACTCGTTTGTTCTCTGCTTGGAGTCCTCCAAGGTTACCGGTCCCAAACCCAGATAAAGGAGGAAGAATGGTCATTAGGTTAGCGACTCCCATCCCTTAGAAAAGAACCTCTCTAAAGAAATGCTAACCAATTATGGATTGCGTCTTCATCTAGATAACTTACATTATTGATTTCGAGCAACAAAAATTTAATTACTGTTTGGAAGTAATGCTGCAAAGATCGGTCTTATAAGAAAAGCGACGATCATGCAAACCTTTGTGTTCCCAACCCAAATAATAGTAATGATTTTATGTTCGATTTTTGTGATTTGAATGTTGGTTGAAATATTTTCTATTGCGGACAGTAATTGGTGGGTGTGGAAAAATCTGTTTAGGACTGATGTATGAAATTTGACCATGTTCGCTAAACTCATCTTTTGAACAGTCAACAAAAGGATTCTCTGTAGTTTGTCACAGACAAATAGTATACTGTATTTGGTGTAAGGTTAGCCACTAACCATCGACTTTTTTTTCAAAATGACTTCATCCAAGTAGTTAGTAAATAACTTCAACGTTCAGAAATGTTTTGCTTATGAACTTTGAAATTTGCTGTATATTAACTCTGAAAACTTAATTTCCTCTAAATAGCATACATTATCCTTTTTACTGTGTTGCCTACACATATTATTTTACATTTATTCAAGAAACCTCTTACAATTTAAAACATGACTGATATTTTAGTTTTGTGACCTATAGCAAACTCTTATTACTGCCATTGGCATGACTTTATTATGACTAAAATAACTGTCATCCAATACTGGTTGAAACAGAATGAGACTGCTTTACTGGCACAACGAATATCATAATGCTATAGAAGGGGACTGATTTATTCTCCAACCGCTCATTAAATGAAATCAACATTTACAATAAAGTACATATTATTTTAAATAAATTTAAATAGTTCAAAGTTGAAATCATGAGTCAATTGAAGCTAGACCACCATCGAAAACCTGGAAGCACTGGACGGCCGTTTCGTTCTATTATGGGACTCCTCAGCAGTGCGCATCCACGATCCCGCACTCACGAGATTCGATAAATAGATTGGATTAGTAGTTTATCAGTAATATATATTTGTTTCCTTCTTAACGAAACCCGATACACATATTTCGCAGCTGATAACAAAGTTACATCTTGATATTTATTCCCATTGGAGTAGTCTTTATCAGAGAGATTATTTTCATGAAATCTGTCATGTCATCTACTAACCCAAATAAAATACTTATAAAAAGCACTGTAATGCGGCAGATCTCCTCCATCAATGAGTTCATGATAGTATGTGTTGTCCTGTGATTGGTTAGTGTGTACTATCATTGATGATGTAAAGGTGTAAAATCAGATATTAGATTTTCATGCTCTGTCGGTTAACTCACTCAGATGAACTTTATGGACAATCTTCATTTTTATATAGTTTAGATCATGAGTCAATTAAAGCTAGACCACCATGGAAAACCTGGAAGCACTGGACGGCCGTTTCGTCCTATTGTGGGACTCCTCAACGGTGAGCTATTTCCTGGAGTTTTAGTGAGAAGAAGTAACCAGTGGAGTTCAACCAGGTCTGTTGGGAGATATCAACTCACTGATGATATTGGTGAATGGCTATTCAATTTCGTGGATTGGTTGAAGTTAGACATCAACATTGTTGGATGCAGGCTCAGTGGTCTATCGGTTAAGTGCTCTGGTGCAAGACTGGTAGATCCTGGGTTCGAATCTCGCGGTGCGGGATCGTGGATACGCACTGCTGAGGAGTCCCACAACAGGACGAAAAGACCATCCAATCCTTCCAGGTTTTCCATGGTGGACTACCTTCAATTGACTCATGATTTAAATTATATAAAATTACTAAAATCTCCACAAAACCCCTTCTGATAATTTTCATCTTTGTTTAAAATAAGTCGAGATTTTTCTATACTATAATTCATATCAACATTTGTGAGTGAAATAGGTTGCTGACGTTGTGATTTTACTTATAGATTCTAGTTCTTTCTTATAACCATCATAATGTTTTAGTATTTACAAGATTAACAGTCTGTTGGTACAACTGAATGATAACCAAATTGTTGTCTTAAATGTTAAAATACCTAACTTTAAACCACCATGGTACCTGTACAAATCTCTTCAGGTTGTACAGTCAAATAGTATCACTAGCCTTTACACAAAACGTATAACTTAAAGTAGAATACACAAACAATTGCTTGGTCATCGGCTAGATAATAATTATGTCAGTTTACTAACTTTGGGGTGAACTAGATTTTCACTCATCGGACTTCAGTTCATATTTAGTATGTGAGTGTTAAATGTAATCATTGAATAATCAGACGGAATCTATGAATAGACTGTTCCAATTTATAATTCATCGGTTAACCTTAATCTACTTAAAGCACAAAAATCATAGTAATTTACTATCAGTGTACAATGTAATCTTACTAAGAAAAACTTATTACCTAATCAGTTTGATTGAGTTACAACCTATTCACATTGAGAGTTTATCAAGTCTTTAATTGATTTTAAAATTCTTTTGGCAACGTTAATATCAGAAAAATTTAACGATCACTTTTCTTTTATAATATTCATTACCTTTTACTGATTTATAGAGTTGAATCTCATTGAACAAATCAAAGATTTATCAGTAGGTGATATTCATCCTCTCATTTCATTCACAATGAATAACCAGCGTCATTGGTGTTCGAGCGGATTTCCTGGAATAAAGGAAATACCCTCTTTTCTTCAGTCTGACGATACAATACTGAATAGTAGCAATGATAAAGGTAGTTTCAATAGATTACTAATCGAATGACTTATTTGTAACACTAAATATATATTGATTAATTAATTTATATTAGTTTTAAACTAAAGGAATAAATTCAGTAGAAATTAATTCATGTAAAGAGGTTTAAAGCTGTCGACAACAAACCTGTCTTCTGACTTTTGGTACCCTTCAGCAAGACATACCTGCAATATTGAGGGATCTGGTGTTCCGTAGTGGATTCCAATGTACATCACCCAGCATTACAGTGAGACATTACGACCGAACTAGTCGGGTGGCAAGTGACCTATATGATTAGTATATTTACAATTGATCGATCATTTAGTGTTCGTGTAGTCCTGATCGAATCCTGTTGACCATGTTTCGACGTGGCCACTAGTCGAAAAGACTTGGGATTGCCTCCGAAACAGCTCATTGTTAACATCTTACTCAGATTGTGAAGATGGGTAACGTAGGGTCGAACCCACCGGTGAGCACCAGCTCCCTCAAAATTACAGTTATACATCTATAACAAGTATCGAATACCTCAAAATTTAGTGTGGGATTTCCTGTCGACAACCTCACATCTTAATATAATGTACATGATGTCATGTTACCACAGTTAGCTCACTAGTGACTTGTTTCAATTTGTTTCTAGAGTTCTGCTGATAAATTGTGATTGATGGAGATATGTCAGAAGTGGAACAGTTGCTATCTATAGGAATGTATGATTGTCTCGCTATAGTTCGGATTGATTGAAGTTAAATTTGTAATACTGGATGTCAACCCAGTGGTTATAACGCTCAAGTGTTCGCCCCAATACCTGAAGATTGTGGGTCCAGTCTCTGGTGGAGTCGTGAGTGTTTACTGTGGAAGAGTTTCACATCAGGACGAAACAGCTATCCTGTACCCCTTGATTAACAGTGGTGCCTCGAACGAAATTGAGGTGTTGTGAATACAAGCTACAAATTAAACTAAGATTCACAAGACCACTTTAAGTTACCTAAAGTTGATTAACGTTCATTCGCTATATACTACATGCATTTATTTCGTATTACATAACGGAACGTTAAGATGAGATGCTTTTTCTTTTCATATTTGGGTCGATCAAGATACAAATTTATCGGAGGATAACTTCTCAGTAAATCCAGAACATGTTATCCGTGGATCAAAGCGTCATATTTATCAGAATGGATGTCTGATTCGAGTTTTGGAAGAAGAAAACCTTCTTACTACTGGTAATTTATATCTTGAATTCGGTGCTGGTCGTGCTGGATTATCTCATTGGATCAACAACTGCTTAGCGTCTTCTGAATTAGGCTCTCGTTGTTACGATCGGTTTCCAGGTATATGGCCGGTAAAGGCACCCGAAACTAGCTTTGTACTTGTGGAACTCAATTCCGTCCGTTTTAAGGTTTGTTGTGAAAAAGAATAATGGTACATTCAATAAAACTGTTTTAAGTTGCTATTTGCTAATTTATTTTTTCAGGAACATTGCAACTTTAAATATTTTATTTAGATATATTGCCTGTGCTAATATGTGCCATCTTTGAAGCTGTCGTGGTACTAACCTGGTTGTAAAAGGTCGGATTTACAATGCTTTAGGGAGAGCAGTTTTACTCTTACCTTGTGAAACCAGGTCTAAGACAGAGGACAGTTTTGACGGACACCACTTGAGGTTGTAAAATCATATGACAGTTCACCATAAGCTCTCACTCGACTGGTTGTGTTCGAATAAAGAGCCTTCACAAGGTTTATGTACTTCTGAGGTACACCTTTCAATGACTGACACTGCCACAGAACCTCTCGGTCTATAGAGTCAAATGCTGCTTTCAAGTCAAGAGAAACTATCATTGTTGGACGACAGTAAACATACCTGTGTTCTCAAACCTGACGAATAGTGAATATGTGGTCGATGCAGCCACCACCAGGTCTGAAACCAGTCTGATTTTCTCGTGTTTGCAGTTCATGAGTCTTAGTTAGGCACCCGATAATTATTGAGTCTAGTATTTCAGATGCTGTATTAGTCAAATTAATCCTTCTACGGTTGTCACAGGATGATTTTGACCCCTTCTTATATATTGGGACAATCGGAGGTTGTGAGCAGTCAGATAGAATTACGTCCAACTCCCAGATTTTAGCTAAAATATTAGTCAACATAATCGCTAAAATTGGACCACCATACATAAAGGCCTGTGGAGCCAATCAATCTGGACCAAGTGCTCTTTCTCGTTTCAGATTAGCTATAGCCTTTTGAACTTCATCTAGAGTCGGGGGATCTACTTCAATGTTCCTTTCAGGCTGTCTCTCCTAATGCTTAAAACTAGTGTTTGCTAAAAATAAACGAATGTATGAGCATAGTTACAACAGACAATCACCATTATCTGTTCGCTGAGCCGGAATACTAAAATACCCACCTAAATGTCTTTCTGTTTGGTTTAAGCTACCTAATAGGGCAATAAAGTCACTTGGTACGAGTTGTATGTCTGAGCGTTTAGCTTTTTGAAGAAGTTCAGAGAGCTGTTTGTAAAAGTCATCTTTCACTTTATTCGGGCTGCACTCAGTGTTAGCGTATGCAGAAACGACGTAAGGGCAACGATCTGTGTCCCGATCCTTCCGAGTTCTTACGGAGCCATTTAGCCGAACAGCGAGTAAGCGACTGTTAACGGGGATTCACTCTAATAGTGCTTGTTCTGCCCTCGTACTTAGTGGTATGCCTACACTCACCAGTCTACGAGAACTAGCCCTCAAATGCCCTGGTACGTCTGAGAGTGGGGAGAGTCCGCTCTCCCTTTCGAAATGTTCTCATATGGTCACGCTTATATAGCCTCTGCCAGGGAAGTCCTAGTCACTGCCTTCTCGTGGCGCGACTGTTGTTTACAAAATTGAGAGGTCGAAAAGCGAATGTCCGATGCAGGTAGGTGGACACGGAGAGTTCATCTAGGGGAGTTGAAAAACCCTGATTCCAAACTAATGGTGCTCATGAGCTCCAGTATCCTAAGGGAACAAATGGCATATGAACCAATCGTTGGTCACCGGCTATCATGGGACTGCATCTCCTTACGATGCTCCATTGCCTTGTGGATTAGATCTTTAGGTCAAATGCTCCGGGTATGGTTCCCTAAGAAAACCACCTATTTAGGTTTGTGCACCTGGGCAGTATCACAGCCCTCACACAAATTAAATGAGATTTGTATGGCGCATATATATCTGGTTCCCCCTCGTAACAATATTTATGTGTTTAAATAAATAAACATTAAATGAATTGATTGATTCTTATGATTATCTGTGAATTTTGTATTTACCACATTATAAGTTGGTCAACATAATACTTACTTAATTACTTACGCCTGTTACCCCTCGTGGAGAAGCATAGGCCTCCCACCAGCATTCTCCATCCAGCTCTGTCCTGGGCAATCCTTTCCAGTTAACATTCATCCTTTTCATATCTGCTTCTATTTTCCGACGTAATGTATTCTTTGGCCTTCCTCTTTTCCACTTCCCTTCCGGATTCTAAGTTAGGGCTTGCCTCGTGATGCAGTTTGGTGATTTCCGTAATGTATGTCCGATCCACTTCCAATATCTTTTTCTAATTTCCTCTCTAGCTGGAAGCTGGTTTGTCCTCTCCGCCTGTAGCTCTTCTAGAGTTACTGCCGGTCCCAAGCCCGGGTAAAGGAGGAGGGTTGGACATGGGGTTAACAACCTCATCCAGTAGAAAAACTAACTCGCTAAAAAAAGCGGTAACCAGAAAAAATGATCAACATAATAAGTTAAGTAGTAACATTAATTATACTTGAAAACTTACATAGAGTAGACCTAATTGACATGAAATCCCATTTTATTTATCTACTTTCTTCCTATCTGAATTACCATTCTTTTATGTAAGTATTTCCAGAGAATGAAATTTAAATGGCTTCCGATTTGAAAATTGTTTTTTTTTCTGTATTTTATAGATGGATAGACGTCAACGTGATGAAGGAAATTTTACACGTATCACAATAAATATTGCTGACTTGGATCTTGGTATTATTTTTAAAAAATTTTTTAACATTTAACATTGAAATTCTGTGGTGTTCATCTGAAATGACTATAAAATCTGTTGATTTTACTTTTCAATCAGACTGAAAAACATTATGGTGACTGGTGTTAGGTATAGTTGAATCTCACAAGTGTCATATATGCTTTTAGTAAAAAAAAAGAAGCCATTTCGAACATGTATAGATATGATGTAATAGACGTTGGACTGAAATCTCTTATCTGTATATCTGAATTACTAGTTTCCATCATCATTTTTAAGTGGTTCACTTTATTTAGTCTCTGTTATATCGATTGAGTATGTGGGTGCGTGCCCTGTTTGATATATGAACGTACTGATTTCCGCAAATGAGAGAGTAGCGATTTTTCGATCGGATCAATAATACACGATGGTCGTATGAGCAGTTTTTTAGCAATACTCGGTCCTGCTATCTGCCTAGCCCAGTCACTTAAGTCTAGAACACCAATAACAGCCGCTGCAATATGAATAATTATTCACAAATATACTGGGTTTATATACCAATTAAACAGACCATATCGTACCATAAAATAAAAAATAACATTTGTACAAGATTTAGCCAAATGTGGCTGTGAATAAGGGGAACAGTAATTAATGGACTAAGGATAACCCGAGAATGGTAAATCGTATAATAATAATCTATAGGTCAAAATAAAGCGTATAATAACAGGGACACGAATATGAATAGTTTAGTTACTTAACAAGTATACAATAGGAAATATACAGATCACATTGATCCATAAATAGTCCTCAAGGTTATCATTCATAATTCTTCACGGGATACAAAAGTCTCTTTTTAAATGTATTTAAAGTACTGTTATATATGATGCTATCGATCTTTTTTAATCCATTTTTTCTCTGAGGATATCCTGATTTCCGACTTGTGCTTCCAATAGAATATGACTAAAAGATTCTTCTACCTCGTGCATTCGAAAGCCTCCTTTTATCCGTCTTGTTCATCAAACAGACTTACTTTTTTTTCTTAATAAGGCGGTGTCTTTTCAAAATTCTTCCGATTCCCTACTAACATGTAATCTTACTAAAAGTGTTAACGCGAGCTTTATAATCTATGTTATGTTTAAATGTTTGTAATGACAAATATACATTTTTTTATTCGGAATAGTATACATGAAATCTATTTAGAGTTATAGTTTTAATCTTAATGTAACTCATTTACTAAGCTTCTAGTCACATTATCTGGCTTCATAAAACAAAGTGTGTGCCGGGATTTAAACCTGCTGTTCATGAACTGAAAGTCGAATAACCCTAACAAAAAAACCACATATCAGCTGACTTCAAGAGGATCCCAAATTGAGATGAAACGATGAAATGTTAGCTAGTACTACGTCATAGATATGTGTACATATTACCGACTTGGGGTTCCCCTTTCGTACGAAATTCTTTGCTCTTTTTATCAATATTTAAGTTTTTTGATAGCTTTGTTTCAATTGGTATCTTCTCGTTTTTTTTTTCCATTTTTCTGGAGTTTATTATTATATGAACTTATAATCAAAAATAAAGAATATTTGAGCGAAAAGTCGCTCTCAAGAACTTCATTTTTGATCTGTACAGTCATAATTTTATAATCATCAGATTATAATGATCAATATAAGACATACAGATATTAGTTATAATCAAATTAGTGTTTCGTATTAAATATTGAGGTTTGAATGCTTGAAAAGTATGTCATTAGTAAATTCAATAAGTTATATTGGAAAGGATACAAAAAGTCACCATGAGATGATGAGTTATACTCAAAATAGTAAAAGCATGTAAATGTGTCACGTAATATGCGAAGTGTTCTGTCGAGGTAATAATAATAATATTTCGATAGGCTACATATTACTAAGCGATTAGTAAATAGTTCACTTTTCATCCACACACGGTAACTAGTGTATTTTCAATTTTTGTCTTAACCAGTTAGTATCAATTGAAGTTAAGATTTTCGAGTTTCAGAGATTGAACTATTTGATTGTCTGCTTTCACAAGGAGCGAAATTACTTTGAAGTCTGTAAATTATACTAATTTTGGTATAAATTTTAAATAGTTAGGTATTTTCATGATAGATTAGTCAGTTAATATCCTATGTTTAGTATTTCACGATAAGAAATGTATGGAAGGATTTGTGTAGAATGTCAAATTTTCATACTTTAAATTAATTGTTAATGTTAGATCACCATTGGGAACGTCCACACACGAAATTGAGGGTTCAGAGTTCGACTCTCGATTCAGTATCGTGGATGGGCACTACTGAGGAGTCTCATACTGGAACCAAACGACCGTCCTATGCTTTGCTGTTTTCAATGGTGATCTAACTAACATCAATTTGTGATTGAAATTATAAAATTTTCAGTAGTATTTCCACTAAAAGTTGCTATAATTTGCTTGGTTAATAATAGCGGTTGTGTTACAATTGGTCTTATACAAATGAATAATATACTCTTAAGCAACTGTACATTCAAATCAATCTTCTTTTTTTGAACAAGTAACAATCTTTTGTGCAATCCATTAAGTTAATGCAAATTTTAGACGGTAGTGTACTTTAAAATTTTCATTTCTCAAATTTTTTCAGCTCGTGTTCCGCTTATACAAGAGAATAAAAGACCTTTAATTGCTGTTGCCAAACATTTATGCGGTGATGCTACAGGTGAATATAATTTTTGAGTGTGATCTTCAATTTTTGTATGAATAAAATGTATTGTCAATAATGATGATGTAACAAGAAAATGGTGATGATCTGAAAAAATGTAATGAATTTGCAGGAATGTACTTTTTCAATTATCGAAATATTGAAAAGAGAAATAAAATTATCAATAAAGATTCACGGTCAGAACCAGTTGTTTTTGTACACATAGTTGTACCCTTGAATTATTTGACGGTCAAAACTTCTACAAACCTAGGAATACGTCCTTGTTTTAAAAGCTGTTTTTAGGTTATGCTTATGCCGTTGCAATGATATATTTGACTATTGAGGAACATGGTATTTTACTTCCTGCGTTTGTCCAGGCATATAACGCTAACGCTTATGTTCTGCTACTCTCGAATGCAACGTTCGATTGCTTCTGCGTATGCATATGTGTCAGTGTAAATACACATTATACACTCACATGCGAACTGGTGAATGAAATGAGATGTGGTGTAATGTTTTATGTGATATTATAGCCTACGTGCAATCATTGCCCCCAAATGCCCTGGTACGGCGGAGAGTGGGGAGAGTCCCCTCTCCCTCTCCAAATGCTCTCACATGGCCACTCGTATATAGCCTCTGCCACGGAAGTCCTACTCACTGCCTTCACGTGGCGGAACTGTTGTTTACAAAATTGAGAGGACAAAAAGCGAATGTCCGATGTTTTAACCAGGTGGGTGGACACGGAAAGTTCACTTAGGGCAGTTGGAAAACCCTAATTCCAAACTAATGGTGCACATGGGTTGCAGGATCCTGAGTGAACTATTGGCATACGAATCAATCGTTGGTCACCGACTACCATGGGACTGCATCTCCTCACGATGCTCCACTGCCTTGTGGATCAGATCTTTATGTCGAAAGCTCCGGGTGTGGCCCTTTCTACTTAAAGCACGTGCTTCAGTTTGGGCACCTGAGCAGTAGCACAGCTCTCACACAAATCAAATGAGATTTGTGTGGCGCATATATATTAGGTGCCCGTTTTTACCAATATTTATATTTTTAAATAAAACGTGCAATCATAAGCATAAAGTGTGCATAAAATTATTCATACCAAAAAGTAAGATTGACTTTATTTTGTCGAGTTGATCATTCATTATGAAGAGTTATTTGATGGTGAAAGGACAGTAAACCCTGACCTTTGAAATATCCACGATAATTTTAAAGTCGGTTACCCGTTCTCTTGAAGCATATGTAGAAAATAAGCCAAATTTTGTTAAAAATAAACCCTCATCGTTCTTTAAAGTTAGCAGTTGCCAATTTGTTTCCTCTTTCAAAAAAATGGTCATTTCGTGAGAAGTTAGACAAATCAATTTTAAAAAAATACTATTCTCAAATTTTAAAATAACTAAATGTTCCCTTTTTTGAAAAATAACATTCTCTTTCCAGATTTATCACTTCGTTGTTTGAAAAATGCTGGAAATATTATGAAGTATGTCAAATGTATTTTATTGGCGATGAATTTTCGGTATAAATTTTTGTGGTAATATTAAGTCTTCATAGTCCCAGTATTCTTGAACTTATCACGTCACTCGACCGGTTCCAAGATCAAAACACCACTTGAACATATATGTAAATGTGGTTGTTTAGTTCTAGCATGTGACTTCTAACTATAATACACATACAATCGAATTTATAGCCATCAGGTCTTGAATCGAACGGTTAACCATGAAAGAGTAATGCTAAGGTCCTTTTCCCTATGATATCTATTGAGACACCAACAGAGATCAATATTTCGTAAATAAAACTTACAAATTGAACTAATCCCCTTAAAACTCCTTCAACTTATATTAAATTACTCAAAATAACAACATAACAGCAACAAATTAACTTTTTCATAAAATATCGAACCTTTTACACGATTATTTCTCACAAAACAAACCAACTGATCAGAAATATATAGTTATTTTTTGATCAGTTAGGCAGCTACAATGTAGGAACAGGCACATATATGCATATAAGGATATAATACAGGAAGAAAGAAAGATATGAAGCAATTTTAATCTCATAGTGTCGAAAGTCGATGTAGGAGGAATAACAGGAATTGAAGAGGGAGATTGAATATGAATACAGTGATCTTGAGTGCTGCTAGAGGTACGAGGGCGGTTATCACTTCCCAGTTGCCCACACCGTGGAAGGTTTCTTCTAGAGGTAAATGAAAAGGAAATTGGATTAGGAGTTGTCTTAGTGACCTAAGAGCGTAACCGCAGTGCCCAAGGGACAACTGCTTGAGGTCGGTCAACCACGACCTCCATGTGAGTAATTTTTGTGTTAGCTCCGTACTTGTTGAGAGCTTACCACGGGAGACGGATATCCGTGGGATAAGGCGAGGTGTTTTTTTTTAGGGTCGACCTTTTCTAACCCCACTCCTCGTTGTGAGAAGGCAGCGTGGCTGTTATGGTAGTTGTCTGAAGGAAACACTTTACTGCCATCACACCTTTGTACAGTTAGCAGTACGACTTCGCCTTCGGACCTTGGGTTTGCTGCTTTTAGTCTTACCTCTCTTCAACCAACCTGTCTAGCATGTAAGAACCTTGAGGAACGATTGTTTCAGCCAGCATGGCTCGATTGGTTCATCACGATGGGCAAGCCCGAACACCACATCAAAGTAGCATAAACGGTAAATTTCCGATTTTAAATCACTACCTTTTCTTACATCAGTGTATTCAATTGTGCAATCAAAATTACTCGAAATCTTGATTCTCACATTTAAAGCTCTATCTTTCAGTTCATATGCGCGTATGTTAATATTTTTTCAAAAAGTTTTAATGTCAGAGGTCCATCCTCTTCCAGTTACTTTATTATTTATCGTGACTAAACTCAAACATGATAGATCTTGATTTTCTCAAATCTTTCCATCAAGAAAAATCTCTTTAAGTATACTCTACCTTACAGAATCTCTTATTATGAGATAGGTTTCTTTATATAACAGAAACTTGTTTACGGATATTTATTGGGGTTTTATTCACTATACTGTCTTTATTCTTCAAATTTCTATAGCCTCTCAGGTATAATGTTCGCTGTATGCTGTCATAGTAAATGTACTTGGAATGAAACAGCTGGTCGTTTTTGGCTAGAGAAAGAAGCAAAGATAACATCAGATGAATTTCGCTTAATCTCTTATTTATCCTCATGGTCAGTTTCCGGATTGAAGTGTAAATCGTCTGAACAAGCGAATAATCATATTCACAGCTCCGACCAAAGCTATTTGGAAGCTTTAAAGAGTGGCGATGAAAAAGAATGTCAAAATGCACTGTTAGTTGAATTGATGTTTAATAAAATATTTGTTTCAATATTCAGTGGTGGTCTCCTTTGGATTGGTTCATAATTTCAATGAAATCTTGGTTTTATGTTGTAAAATGTCTGTTGTTGCTAATTTCATTTGTTGTTGTCAGTATAGGACTGTTGACACTTGAGTGTTATTGAGATCACGAATCGACCTCTCGTAGACAACCACTGAAAACCTGGAAGCATTAGACAACGGTTTTGGCCTAGTATGGGACTCCTCATTAGTGCATATTGATGACCCCGCAACGGGGAACCTAACTCGGGACCTTCGATCCCGCGCGCAGACACATAACCTTTAGACCAATGAGCCTGAACTCTTTTGTCTACAAGTCTAAATTTCGATCAGTCCATCATATTGGCGACCATCTTTGATTGTTTTCTGTAGGTAACTACTGTATACTAGATACATATTTTCCCACTAGTCATGGCTTCTCATTATAACCCTGGAAATTTTCTCTTGAAGCTAGTCACTATTGAGCACATGATAATTGCCAGTATGAGGTTATGGAGATTGCTAAATATTCAATCTAAGTTATACGATCACTGAAAGCCTGGAAGCACTGAGCGACCGTTCCATTCTTTCATTTTAATTGATTTAATAAACTCTTATAAATGTGCCATAGGCTGAATAAGTACTTCTAGATTTTCACATGACTATGGACTTTCACGATTACTTGTATATCTTATGTTTTCATGAAATGCAGTAACATGTTTATCATTACAAAACAAATATTAAGTTGTTTCGATTCATACACTCCTTGTGAATTACACTGTCCACATTGAACATTCCTTCAAATCGTAATCATTTTAATATCTTATTTATAAAAGTGCAACTAAATTGCCATATTATGCTTCAAAATCTATGATCTGTTTACTTAATGTATGACTAAATGGTTTTATCGACATGCACTAAGAAATCAAGTGGGTTATAAGGTAATTACTTAAACTATAAGAATTTGTCACTATCAGTTGACGTTATTAGTTTCCTCTCTTTTGAACTTGACAATGACCTAGTTTATGAAATCACGCACAAATGATTGACAACCTTTCTGTATACCATGACTGTTATTAATCCTTATCCTACCATTGTTTGTATATTCATCTTTTTTGTCATCGCCTTTGACCTAATATTCAACCTTACAGTTGTGGATGAGTTTTCAAATTAGTTGACATATTGGGTGGATTGTTGGTCGAAATGAGCGTAAAGTTCCTAAAAATTCTTTTGTCTTTTTAGTATCCTCTTTGTCCAATATTTCTACACTTTCCTAGTTGAACATGTGTTCGTAATTGTCTATTTACATCGATATGAGCAAGGACGTTCCATAAGATTTGACGGCTAGTCGATGTTTATGTGAACCAAGACGAAGAGAGTAATCATTCTGTCATAGCAGTTTATCTTTCAGAAGACCTATAACTTCGTATTTTATTAATTCTTTCTCTAACTTGCGCATGATTAATTGGAGTGATTTTGTTGATTTATATACCATTCTTATTTCAAACTGACTAAATAATCTCCAAGGCTTGTTCAATCGTTTTAAAACATACTTCAGTAGCTAAGAATAGATCAAGGTGTGAATACTATAAAACACCGTAAAGTATGTGCATGTTTACTGCCAAAGCTTGTAATTATTGATAAGTCATTTATCATTTCATATGAACACTACTTAATGTCAGATCCTGAATACTTAAGTTTTTCATATATACGGAATTGTTACTGTTTCTATAAATTCAGAATACTAATGACTGGAAATATTTTCTTCTAGGACTTTATGACACTAAAATTTTGAAGCATATCAGTAATCAATTCTATTGAATGCACGTTGTTACCTTTTATCTTCTAAATGAATTGGCCATCCTACATCACTGCAGAGTGTAATATGCGTTATTATTGGTGTTCAATCTTAACTTTTGATAACTTTAAAAGGTTCATACCAGTTTTCGAGAAAACATATCTCCTTTATTTTTCAGCCACAACCTAGATGCATGTGTAAAGGTGAGAATTGGAAAAATATGCAAACGTTTAATTGATTGGGGACGCCTCATGTACATAAAACATGAGTTAAATCTTCCAAATATCAGTTCTGTGGCCTATACAACATCAGATGTAACACCTGAAAACATTGTGATATGCGCTAGTCGGTAAACGCACGGTTGAAACTAACTTATTTGCAAGTATTCTTTCATACAATTTGTATTAACATGTGTGCATAATTAAACAGATTAAAAATTTCTATCGAATAAAACCTTTTTATTACGTATTCAGTCCACTGAAACATTTCTATTTCATGTCTACTTTTCTCATAGTGCTACCGAAATACATCAGTCTTTTGTACTTGATGTTAGGAAAAGGTATACTTTTTAGTAACTACATTTGTTTATGTGTGTATGGCGTCGAGTTCATTTCACAATATCTCTTCGTCCTTGTTTGTTTGTAGCTGATCAAAACCAGTATTTCGACCTCCTTCAAAAATCTTCTGGGGGTCGGATTTATTATGCAATACATTTGCACTCACATGATACTTTGCGTCTACCCGTTAGCTTCACAATTTGGCGAAAACCGTTTTTCTCACCAGCGATCAACAGGATTTTTATATGCCGATTAGGCAGAATATCAATAGACGTTTGCCATCACTGTCGACAGGTCATGGTATATCAAATATTCACGGCACATTATGACGAAGAATTAAAATGTCGTACAGTACAAAACATTTCCTCTCTGAATGTCAATGTCTTAGTAAAAGTTTCCGATATACAATTTCACTATTCCTAGGTATTATACACTTCCGGTTTTTGAGGATGAAATCTTATCTTGAAACCGTTTAGGAGAATCAAACATTATTTGCAACCTCTGGTGATTGACCACAACTATGTTAATTGTAGGTATCATTACCAAGATTTGAATTGCTAATTTCGAATAAATTGAGCATTGGGTAGATTGTTATAAATAAATAATATGTTTGTAATATTCATGTTTTTCCGTTGTACTATTTAAACTTGGATTAATTTTGATTTGGTTATTTATTCTCTGAAGATGTGGCTTACACTGAGTCATGAATCGTCAGAAAATCTAATTTTTCTACTCATTGGGATATTACAAATATATAATTTATTTATGTCACTTGTAGCTGATATAAGACGTATATTGTTGGGTCGTTCTGCTTATTCATATATAGTAGACAACTACAGTGTATTTTGAATATACAGTGAAGTGTGATGGAAAATGATTATTGCAAGTTAATGGAAACCGTCGTTGCAATAAATATGCGTTTTCATACTTCTGAATAGGGATAAAATTTGTTCCATCTACCAATTGGTTTTTCATTTAAATCTGTCATCTGTGGAACGTTTTCTTAGATTTAGGGTCGTTTTAAACTATAAACTCAGATTATCCAATTGAGGCTTTTATACATTTGATAGAGGAATTCAGCGCAAAGGTGTAAAATATAGGTTTTCAGGATTTGTATGAGAAAAGCAATGGGTAGCACACACCAAGGATAGACGATTACAAGTAGTTCAATAACAAGCGGCATTGTTTCTCTGTTGTACCCAGTTTTATTTATTTGACCATAAGTGCTGAGTCATGTTTAATAAAGTCGAGTAGGCTACGATTCCTTCATGCTCATCGTACATCTGGATGAATGCATGTCACATAGAAATTCCCTCAACACATTTTAATATTGGCTTTCATTATCGTTATTGCACGGTGGATTTATCCCTAGCAAGGTATGGGTAAAGAAACGTTTACTCATAGTTGATAGTCAGTTCATCGCCATCGTTAACAACCCAGTCGGTGCAGAGCTACAGTATACCCGGTCTAAGAGAAATTGATTTGGAATATGAGTTTCAAAGAATGTGCTCCCACTACAAATATGAAACTCATACGATAGTTTGTATTGTTTCTAAAAGCCGAAATACCAAGAGATGTCTGTGACCCGTAATATAAAGACAAATCCATTTGCATTAGCCTATTTCGGGTATCTGACTGCAGGTGATGAGATGCTCTAGAACTGGTTTACTGTTGCGCAGATCCGAAATCCAAATATCTATTCGATCCAATAAAGCTCATAAAAATGATTTGATGGTATGTGAAAAAGTACATACATGTATTAAACAAGAGATACCCGCAAGTTGTTAATGACTGCGGGCTCAGTAGGCCCAAATATAATGCTGAAATATTGGATATAATCAAAGTGTTTGGCCTGGTGATGTTGAGTGTTGTATGATAATTTCGAAGCCATTTCTACCACCTTGGAATGAATTGACTTTCTCAAGAGGTTCAGTACCACTCACCATATCAGTTACACTCGACGTTTAGCTTCTCGCATCGATTTGTTAACCATTCCACTTCTGTAAACGAACTCGTGGTATTTATACCGATATATCTGTCTTCCTGGTGGGTAAAGTCTTATAGGTCTGAAGTCGCTATTTGTGAGCGTATTCTGTGGAACAATTTGCTCTAAAGATGACTAGTCGTACTAAGAGGAATTATATAATACTTGTATGCACACAATCAAATGAACTAGAATGAGTCGTCACTATCGTCTAATGAAGTTGTTGCAAAGTAATCATAATTTTCTACACAACTTTATAGTATTAAGTTACACATTATGAGAGATTTCCTAGGTCGACATTCCTAAACTGCTGTCGTTATTAGGTCACTTATCTGCTAGCTAAGGAATTCCAATCCAACAACCCTTCATCTGCAACACCTCTGTCGAACGACTTACGTCCTGTCTTCTTTCTAGCTTGCCTAAGTTTCATGTAGTTTGAGTCTCTCGAAATCAGAGAGATCTTAAGGAGCCTTAATCTACTCACTCAGATAGTATTCGACCCAGAAACATGACGAAAAGTAAAAACTTCATTTTATTCAGTCTTGACATTCTACCTAACTGTTCGCTTTCCCAAGGTAAACTACCTCCAACTACTCATATACAAAACACACGGAACAAACTTTTCGTTAATTTTGCGAAATGAAGTTGAAGTCGACATTCTCTTCAGTCTTCAGTAATAAGGATAGTAGGTTGGTGAATCTGTATTAATCCAGTGAAGTTCCAGCTTCTTCTTGAAAATGTTCACTAATCGGGCTGATACCACTTGTTCAGGTAAGGCGTTCCAGTCTATGACCACTCGATGAGAAAAACAGGACCCCACCTTTAGTTTATTAGATCGCGGTTTGTGAACCTTCTTGCTATGACTTCGGAGATTATCAGTGCTGGAGGGAGCAAAAAGATAAGACATATTAACGCCCGAGTCATAATTAAAGATATGAAATGCCAATATAAGATCACCTCGCGTCCTACAATAAGACAAGGGGAAAACTTTTAGGCGTTTTAAACGCTCATAGTAAAGAAGTTTAGAAGAAAATTTCGTCCCCACACGCTGGTAACACCCACGTGGGTTTGTATTCTTTATCAGATATCGACTAGTCGCTTAGATCCAGTACTCTAAGTGCGGTCTTACTTAGGTTGATATAAAATTAGAAACATCTCCTCATCAAAGTATTTGATTGCTCAGTGAAGTGACCGTAACGCACGATTACCTTTGAAAGCAGCTGCATTGCAGTGTGTAGTTGTTTTCAAGTCGTGACTTATTATTACTCCACAGCCTTTATGCTCTTGAACGTGTGGAAGAGATGTACTATTTATGGTATAATGGTAACTATCACCGTGTCGGATGTACGTGAGTACTCTCTTCCTGCAATCAACTTCTAAGCCCCAACCTCGAGCCCATCCAATTATTTCGTCTTAGTCAGCTTGAAGATGAAAACGATTAGCCTCACTTCTTATTGTTCTCCAGATTTTAACATCATCCGCAAACAATAATGTAGACGACCTAAGCAATAGAAATAATTTATTAACATAGAGAAGGAAAAGTTGAGGGCCTGAAATGGTGCCTTGGGGTACACCAGTTTTGACCGGGTTCCATTCGGATAGCGTTCCACTGACCCTCAATCTCTGTCTATGGTAGCATAAGAAGTTTCCTATCCATTCCTGTAAAGCACCTGTTATTACAAGGCACGAGCGCTTCTGCATAAGACCTAAGTGTGAAATCTTGTCAAACGCTTTGCTAAAATCGGTGAATAACACTTCCACAGGCAGGCCGTTATCTCGGGTCAGTCTTCTTAACTCTGTAAGAGCATTCTTCCAATTTACCCGATCCTCAAGCAGCCAATCTGGTCGAATACGAATATTTGAATCACGAGTTTTGTGTGCGTTATTAAATATTACTTCTCTCCTCAAAATTCTCGAGTACTTCCTTTAAGATCCTTCTTTGTTGGTTCTCGCCTCCAACCCATTTACGGAATCTTATTACTTTCGTGATATGTGCCCCTTAAACCTCTGCGTGCAGTACTTTACCGATGAAAGATCCCACTAACTGCAGATGGTGTGCTTTTCTTTTAGCAGGATCGTTGTCTTTCGACTCTTCTAGATTCCAAATAATCAAAATAGGGACGTGTTTAACTTCTTTAAATGTCGTGTCCTCAGATTTCAACTGTGATATAAGATCCCGCCTGTTAACTGCCGGTATCTAACCATTAGCTTTCCTGGTCACAGTGTCGTGTGAGTCGAGCGAATGACTCACAACAATGGTTGATGTTGCCAAACTTTTCCTATCTGCCATAGGGCTAAATATTGTCTTACTTTCGGACTTAAGCGGAGTAATCTTACAAACAGAATGTGAGCACAACAAGGATTTTTCAACCAAACGGGCTATTTGTTCGGCTATCTTTCTTTCTCTTTCACCTTTCAGCGTCATCCATTTACCATTAGTCTCAGCATCCACATTAGAAATACTCGGGACGATAATGGTTCTAGCCGGATCATCAGTCGCTGTTGTAGCAACTTTGCCACCAATATCTATCATTAATTGTTTCGGGGTAGAAAGCTCTATTTCGCGCCACACAGTTGAGTGTCTGGCAGGTGCCGTGACAACACTGACGACACTGACACATTCTTCGTTATCAGTACCCAAGTTACCGGTACAGCCCTCGTCAACCTTTTTGTTAGCTAATGTTAGAAGGCTAATTGCTTCTTGGATGAGTAATGTTTCTCTCGAACAACAAAACATACACAGCCAATGAGAATTAGGCTTTGAGCATCTTTCGTAGGCAGTGGGACTTGGGCGAGTGCACATTTCGTGGAACCACTTCTTACACTTATCACATTGCACTCCTTCTTCTACTGGGAATAAGCAATATGGCTTTCCAGACTTGTGAGCAGAGCCGACCATCTTACAAATTAACTTGAATGGTAGAGAAAATGGGTGTATAAGACAAATCTCAAACCTTGATCAAATAAATCAAGCCAAAGTCGACCAAGAATGCTTTGATGTAATAAACACACGAAAGCAAGATCGAAACACACAAATAGAATGTCACATTAACTGAAATTAATTCAAATAAAGTGTGAACAGTAGTTTTGATGCGTAATTTCCGATCGAAACACTGAATTTAACTCAACGAGAAACAATATCACTGTACTTAAATAGAGCGCAAAGTAAACGACAGCTTTAATAATAGAACATATTCATTCGGTTCTATATATTGGTTTTCAGATGTCAGTTCTTTGTTACTGAATACCGATGACCATTATTGAACATTGTTTTCCCCATAACACCTTGAGTCACCATAACACTTTATAATACCGCTGGACATGAAGTGGTATGAAAAAAGTCTCACTGAAGCTATTCATACTTTAGTAAGTCAAGATGACAAAATAAACTTCAGGAATGGTCAGAGCTTATCAATGATATCGAAAAACACATCTACACCAACAAACCAAAAACTAATCTTTTTGGAATGACTGAAGATGAAATAAGCTTGCTGATAGAAAATTTTTCAAGATCAGTTACTCCAGGTATGTTTTGGTGTTCTTCAACTAATTTCAGATGAACTTTATGGCTTAAATATTTGAAACCAATAATTTTTGGTTGAAAACCTTATAAATTACTTGATTACTATGGCTTGATCAGAAGTTTTCAATTTCCTCAGTTTAAGGAGGATTTTATGAGTTCTTTGGAAATTCCAATGGAGCCAGATGGAAACAACGAAATGTTTTTAAGTGTGAGGATTTTGTTTACAAAATTTCAAGTCATCATGACATAATTGCCGAAACTTTTAATGGATTTTCGGATTTTCTCCAATATTTCATCGAAGTTTCCATGGAATATCCTGAATATCTCGGAAAATACACTTATATTCTTTAGGAAAACCTTAAGGTTGTTAATTATTTCGGAGGCGTTCTCTATAATTTTTCGGTTTTACTAATATTTTCAAAAGTTTTGGAAAATTCGTTTACATTCTTCGGGAAAACCTGACGACTTCTAACTTTACCGGACAGCATACAGACTTATGACAGATATTCAGAATTCGCTATGCGTTTATTCATATTTTGTATTTTCCTTTGTTAATTTCGCAAACTTAACGCCATAGTTGTCAACATTAACTAATCTGCTGGCCCACACACACCCGGGTTATATAAACTTTTTCCGCGGAACTAAGTGGATGGCTTGTAGAAGACAATGCGGTGTCGACACACAATCATAGATTATTAACTGCATGAAAGTGGTCCTGTCTTGTTGGTATTGGCAAACTCAATAGATAAGCATTGACATAATTGAAAGACTGATGCGTTATAAATGAGATGGTTTATTGAGGTTTAAACGAAGTACAAATAAATTTTCTGCTACTAATTTACGTCTTCGAGTTCTTAACAATTGCTGTTGGTTTTCTGTCCGGCCCATCAGTTAAAAGTTAAAATGTTGTTCAGAGTAAACTACAAAAGGAAAATAGGCACGACTCTTCTGTGTAACTGATATAATATGAAAACATTGACAGTACTATCAGTACACAAATGAATACCTAATGTTGTGGCGGTCATACAACTTGTGGATCTATAATGCAATGTGATATGTGTATTATGTAAGAATTATAGTATTAAAATGTTTGATGAATCCGAAAGTTATAGTTAGGTCAGTGAGCACTTACAAAGCCAGATGAAAATAAGATAAACAGAGAAGAATAATTTCAAGATGAACGTTTGACAGCAACTAATAAAAAACATAAAGAGATATTCAATAACAAATCTAAAGTGCATTAAGCTCATGCTTTGGATCACCATCCACGCTTATTTACTTTATCTCTTGCATAGTTCAAGAAAGCCTGGCTAGCATCATCCATCGCATGTGCTATTTGACTACCTGGACAGGTCGCAATTCGGAACCGTGAAAACAGGACATCTAATAATAAATAAAGACTGGACTCGTATATATGGTACATAAAAAAACCCAGACAACAGCGGTGACTACAGTAGGTGCAGAATGACTTTAACTACACGAAACAATCACAGGATTCAGTGATATTTCACAACACTGTTGTGTAGCTACGAAGTTGGCCATACAGTTAGGATGTATTGTACTGCAGGCTTGTCTGTTAGTGACCGTGAAGTCGTGCTTCTTCACAAACTCATCTCTTTGTTTCTTCGACCTTCTTTAAAATGTCGGGCAATGATAACTCATCACGTTTGGGACTCTGTTGGTTGTCACCCGCCTCTCATCTCTTTCATTAAATTTAACACATTAAGTCTAAGAAGAGCGCTAAGCTGCGATTAGACTGGGCCAAAATAGTAATCAAAGTTTTTAACAGCAACAACAACTCACTTCCATGTCCTAGGGTTTTTGAAAAAGTGGCGTACAACAAACACTTTCTTGTCTCGTGCCTAATCGACATGCTAAAACAATGCCAAAATATCGGTACTGGGAAGGTGTATTGAAATTGATTATCGTGTAGTAATAAGTATAATTAATTGTACTTATATCTTAAGAGATTTAAACGACGCTGTTAATAATAAATTATTGTCCAAAGAACCGCACAACATCGATTCTGAAGTTTTTCTCTGCAACTTCCCCAAGATTTACTAGAATCTCTCCAAAATCTGGATATTGTGCTTACGTTCATATATTAATTGCTTCGTCAATCAGTTCTCCTTATTTTTGCTCCTCCTAAAACTTTACACTAATTTTTCCATCTGTTTTACTTAGCCATTAACCTACTGTCGACTGTAAGTAATATTGATGTATTTACACGAATTTCTGCTTTTACCAGTCGTCAAAATTATTTATCGCATTCAACTTCAGGTTGTCTTTTCATAAAGATTTTTGTCTAAGTACTTAAGTGTTGAACTTGGCGGTGGACCACTTTTCTCAGATCCCTTGAAAGATTCTTGTGATATTTTAATTTTTGATTTGACGTAAATTGTGCTTGGAAATGCTCATTTTGTTGATTTCTCTACTGTTAATTTGGTACATAAATCATCAGTTAAAGCAGAAATAAGTACCTAATAGATTGAGAAATGAAACTTTTCCCTACATTTAGACTTATTACTTTATCACAATACTTTATAATTTATAGTGTACATTTTACCATAAATATAATTAAACACTAATGAACTATCCCAGACTATTTCCAAGCACATTCAGAGATTCTTTGTCCTAGATAATATATTCTGCAAAATGGTCGAAATAGCTGACTTGAAGACTGTTATCTGGAAGTGTATGTCTTACAGTTCAATGTTTCATATCTAGCAACATCAGTCAAATGCTCCAGTACAAATTTAAGACATAATGCTGTGGCGTTTTAAAGTCACCATCATCACCATTGAAGTTTATTTCTGCCATAACTGTAAATTAGGTACAACGGTGTCACATATTTACAGTAAATGTGAGTTATATCGTCAATAACGCGGTTTTAAACGAGGATCTCAGTGACAGTTAATACAAAAGCCAGGAATGAAAGGGTCCTTATATATATTTGAAAAACGGACTATGCATCAAGATTAATATAATATAAGATGTCCAGTTGTTGTATGAGTTGTGCATGCTTTTGTCTCCCAGCGTGATTTGGTGTGGATACCCGATCAAGAATCTTTAGCTAAAAGTTCTTCCAGAAAAATGAATAGGGTTAGCATCGGTGTCATAGGCTTACAAAACTATTTATTCTATAAATTTATTTACATTAACAGATGCCGGAAGTAATTGAACAGTGAGAATCAAATGGTGTCATATTTATGGTTTGAGCTTAATAGATTCGAATGTGATAAAGCTATCTGTCTACGTCACTTAACATCACAGCATGACGTACACTTTGTGATACGTGAAAATCATCCAGTTGTTAAATAGGCCTATATATATATATGTATATATATGTATATATATATATATATATCACTAAGTTCTGAAAACCATACAGTAACCAGTTAATTTGCAAAATAACAACCAATTGTCTTAATCTTGACTGTTCCTTCTGCAAATATCAATCCATCTTCTCTGATTTCATTGTTCATGCATTTTCATATCGATTACGCTTAATTCCTGCACTTTCCTTATCGATCTTCTGTCAAAATACATTCTGTCTGACCATCACCACATACTACTTATGCGGATATAAGTAGACCACACCCCACCGTTATTGTAAAGGATCAGTTGTTTTAAACAAAAACCTAAATTTTATGCCACCCACTAATGTTTTAAGGACTATATTACACTATACCTAACGACATAACTGTTAAATAACCAAAATTGCATAACTATTCATATTGCATAGTTGAAAAACGTGAGATAATCTTTGTAAATAGAATAACTGATTACGTAACACCGATAATTTATTTAGTAAAATACCTTCACCTATGCTGATTTCATCATTATGCTTGACACAAATATATAATACAGGGGTTCTAGTCCATTAAACAACATTCATCATCTGTGTCATTATTGTAACACAATATTTAAGTCAATTCAGTTGATTAGAGTTTTACTCAGGGAAACGATAATCTTATAATCTATGTCTATTAGTAGTCATAAATTTTTTTATGGATTTCATACTTCCAACTGTACTAAACTGTTTTACTGACTACCATCGGTTATTTCCAAATCATCCTTGAATAATAGTATGAGATATTTTGTCATGAAAAGTGGGCACTCAGATTTTATTCGTTGCTGATGTAAACGTATAACATTCCCTCATTGGGTACGTTTTTTGGTTTTTTCTGGGTTTTTTTTCTGTACTTTTATCTGATTATTATCGGTTTATTGTTTTTTAAATTACTATTTTACATTTAAACTCTAATCAGTTATTATTATTATTACCTTATACAAGTTTTCTTGATTATTACTCAGATTATTATTATTATGACCTTTGTGTTTGTCGCTTTTCTTCATATCTGTCAATTGAACTATTATCTGACCCAGAATGGACATCAACACTGAGATGCAGGTACATCCAGCTGACGAGTCCCAAATAGGACGAAACGCGCGTCCTCCATTCCACTGCTAGCCACTATCCATCTTCGCTCACCATGCTTGTGAATTTAGGCTATATCGAGGCAATACGCACAGTATGCACATATGCCAATAATAGACTGACCAGTTGCAGTCCTAACACATCGATGGGAAGATTCAAACAAACAATACTAAGTGAATTTAAACTTCACCCCATCGCACAAGCAAGTGGCTATCAGGACTCAGTGGCCGAGTGGATAACGCGAAGGCGTACTGGGTTGGAGTCCTAGAGTGAACATCAACTCTGAGATGCAGGTATATCCAGCTGGCGAGTCCCAATTACGACGAAACGCGCGTCCTGGATTCCACTGCTAGCCACTATCCATCTTTGCTTATGACCCATAAATTATTTTCTTTCTTACCCCTTGATTAGTACGTCACCTCATTTGTTATTTATTGTCGACTCAATTTATAATGCAATCTTTTCTAGCCTCCTGTAGACATATATTTTCCATATCAGTATAACATTTCCTTTATTTAAGATTATCAGTGGAAACTAGCCGATGTACATCATATAAATTAGCTTCAGTAACATGATGCATGAAAATGATAATTGTAATCCGAAAGGGGATTGTTGCATATTACAGTAATTTAACAGTTCAATTCATAAGACGATTAAAGCTAGACCACTATGGAAAACCTGGAAGCACTGGATGGCTGTTTCGTCCTCGTATTCAACTGCTAGGCAGTGCGCATCCACGATCCCGCATGAGGGACTCGAACTCAAGAGCTATTGGTCTCGCGCACAAACGCGTTATTATCTTATTATACACATTTTTTGTTGATGATCATTGTCCAGATAAATTATCACGATAACTCATGTGTCCAGTTCTTCATGGGATTTGATAATAGTTACGTGAATAGTGATTTAAACTCGATAAAACAAATATGTAGCCGTACAGATACTATTACGGTATTTCCTTGTCATTCATATAGTTATGCAATAAGTACCCACAGTTTATACTCGTGTAAAAACTGATTTGGTTTATTTTATAGTACGTAGTTCAAATTTTATTTTATTGTTTTAGGTAGCACATATCATGCTATGCTAGTCAAACTGAATCAAATACTTACTAAGAATTTATATAATTCAGTTGAGCATTACATGACATTAAAGCAACCTACAACAGTGCCAAACATAGAAACTCATGGAGAAGCTTTCTTGTGGAAACAATGGGATCAGGAATATTCACATCGATATTTTAAACTAACTCCAAGTGCATATCCGAGTAAATCTGACTTTATTACAATGGAAGCGAATGAAGCACTAATTGCATTGTTTGAAAAACATCCAGAATTTCTAAATAAACTTTCTTCTCGTTATTTTAATCAAACATTTCAAAGCTCTCATATTCGAAGGAAACTATGGAGTATTATATTACTATCTAGATGTAAGTACAATTATTCTATGGGTTTTAATTTTAATGTAAATATGTTATATCCCCTGGTGAATTATGAATCGTAAATCTGAGGTCTATTATCGACCAATGTATTATGCCTATTTCTTATTGTACAGTTGTTACGTAACTAAATTATTCATATTTGTGTTTCTCTTATCATTAGCTTTATTTTGATCTTTGATTTATGATCATACGATTCTTGAGTTATAATCAGTTTATTGATTACTTTGGTTTGTATAAAAACCCAGTATGCTTGTAAATAATGATTCATATTGCCGAGGCTGTTATTTGTGTTCTGGACTTAACTGGCTGGGCTAGGCAGATAGGAAGGACCGAATAGCACCCAAGACTGCTCGTACGTATTTCAAGTATCATTTGCATCCGATCAGTAAAATCCACTACATCTCTAAATTGGCGTTCATATAAATTACGAGCGCATACGATATAACAACTGACGACGAGGCAAAAAAAAAATGGCTTTAACTTCCGATCAATTTCAGTTGCTAATTCAGAGACAAGAGCAGCGTTTTAAAAAGAGTCAGTTGGATTTCATTGACAAGTTACACGCGACGCTGCTGAATCACCCATGCTTTGGGGGTGCAACGGAAGTTGACGCATTGATTTCTAAATTGCGTACGGAACTGGAAGTCGATTACAGAACAAATGAATATGCAGAGGAAAGCCTCTATGAATCCGCGAAAAACAGAAATTTAGATGCAGCAGTAACAGTCCTACATGATCAGCCCAGTAGTCCGGTGCTGCCTGTTTCAGAGACATGCCCTATACACGGTCCAAGTCCTATTAACCCCGAAAACGGACGTGCAAACAGTGGATCAACCTGTTTACAGAAAGACAATGTTTTGCTGAATGCTCATGGAATTACTGTAGTACCCGCCCACGAAGAAACGGGGAACAAATCGGGCAGTATATTGAATACAGTGGCGCCAAATCAAACCAGTCATGATGCAAAAAAAGTTTTTTTATGAATCTAATGATCAAGATTATCTAATTGTTCTGCCAGATCCCGATTATTTTGCTGATTCATATGTTCCAGTTCAAATCTCTTATAAAAATGGGAGAAAAATATCGGATGCATTAAATGATAATCAAGAATCCAATACAACTTTCATAGATACTGATTATCCTAATGATTCATTATCTACTAATGAGGTTCCGAGTAAATTCAAGGAAAGTGTTTCAAAAGAATCAGACGCCGGTGACCTCAAATCGAATGTCGTCGATCCTCACGATATAATCAGTTCTGGTGGATTCTCTGTTAAATACGACGAATATGTTTTAAATAATGTCACAATAACGGTAACTTGGGTACATGAGGATCCAACAATCTTTCGTGGGGGAGGGTGAATTCGAGAAATTTAAAATCCGGATGTCAACTCCGGATTTCTCAAAAAGGGGGAGGTGTTATATCCCCTGGTGAATTATGAATCGTAAATCTGAGGTCTATTATCGACCAATGTATTATGCCTATTTCTTATTGTACAGTTGTTACGTAACTAAATTATTCATATTTGTGTTTCTCTTATCATTAGCTTTATTTTGATCTTTGATTTATGATCATACGATTCTTGAGTTATAATCAGTTTATTGATTACTTTGGTTTGTATAAAAACCCAGTGTGTTTGTAAATAATGATTCATATTGCCGAGGCTGTTATTTGTGTTCTGGACTTAACGGGCTGGGCTAGGCAGATAGGAAGGACCGAATAGCACCCAAGACTGCTCGTACGTATTTCAAGTATCATTTGCGTCCGATCAATAAAATCCACTCCTCTCTAATCGCACGTTCATATATATTACGAGTCCATACGACATAACAAAATACGACTTACTGAATAACATTTTTGCTTACAATATTGAAGGACCATAAACCGATTTTCATAGTTGAAATCATGAGTCAATTGAAGCTAGACCACTATGGAAAGCCTGGAAGCATTGGACGGCCGTTTCGTCCTATTGTGAGACTCCTCAGCAGTGCGCATCCACGACCCCACACTCGCGAGATTCGAACCCAGGACCTATCGGTCTCGAGCCAGAGCCCTTAACCGATAGACCACTGAATCGATTTGTTACAAAGGACAAACAAGAGTTGGATGTAGGATACTAGGTTAATGTATCATCAGAGAATACACCAGAACATGCTACTTGATCACTTGACTCAACGATTCGACTGATGATCAAGAACCAGATTAGATCGAAGTGAGAGTTTATTAGCACACTAAGTAAAATAGAAGTGGTAAAAAGGTGGGATGAATTTAAACATAAAATAATCTATTACATTTAGTATAACCAGATATTTCTGTCTTCGCTTATTACTCAATCATGGCTTATTTTCACTTGATATATCTCAAATCTAAATTTCCAATTATTAAGTGTCAATTGTTTAATGGATAACGCGATGGAGTTTGAGGCGAACGGTACTGTGTTTAAGTCCTGGAGTGAACATCAACTCTGGGATGTATTTAATTCCAACTGGCGAGCCCTTAAATAAGACGAAGCGCGTGTCCTGAATTCCAGTGCTATTTACCATCCTTTTTTGACTATAATAAATCCAATTTTGTTTAATTACTACTAGGATTTTTTTCTTTAGGTAAATCTCAAACAACAAAATTCGAGCAAATCATTCAAACATTGTCACCTGATCAAGATGAACATATTATGGTAGAATGTAGAAAATTTTTGAACTCTTGTATTTCTATGTCTTCTATTAAAGATTCAGTTGGTATGTTGAAATTATGACATCATCATCATCATCATTCTTCTCTTTTAGGTTGTTTATATGCAATGAATTATTTATTAAAGTTTTATCTAATGATAATGAACACAAATGAAAATATTAGGCTTCATTATATCAAAATTGCTTCTATATTAGTTTTGGCTATGAAAGATTATTTATCAAAGTAAACTTTTATATAACGCTTTATTATATCATATATTTAAGTAGTGTTTAAGTTATCTTTCATAGTTGAAAGCGTAAGTCAATTGAAGCTAGACCACCAGGGAAAGCCTGGAAGCACTGGACGGCCGTTTCATCTTATTTTGGAACTCCTCATCAGTGCGCATCCGCGACCTCACCTCGCGAGATTCGAACTCAGGACCTACCAGTCTCGCGCCAGAGCACTTAACCGATAGACCACTGAGCCGACATACGATGGTGTTTATGTCTAACTCTAACCAATCCACTAAGTTGAGCAACCGTTCAGTTATTGTCTTCAGTAAGTTTTTATCTCACAACAAACGTGGTTGGTCTAGTTTCAATTGACTCACTCAATAAATAACAAATGAGGTTACGTACTAATCAAGGGGTAAAGAAAATTTTCTTCGCTGAATTCGCTTTTTCTTATTTAATAACCCTATGAGTTATTTTAATTATCTAAACAGCTGTAAGGGTAATACAGAAGTATAGTAAAATTTAACTGATAATCGGCTTAGGGAAAATATAATGACATCTATTGATCAGAGCAATTATTATTCTTTAGAAAAGTATGCTCATAATTTGTAACAAATGATTAAATATACTTCGGAATTATATACGAATTAACCACTATCAGAATGTGGGTGGGTAGAGTTTCTAGAAATTTAATAGTTGAATTCATAAGTAGATTCAAATTAGACCACCATGAAAAACTTAGAAGTAATGGACGGTTGTTTCGTTCAAGTACGAGACACCTCAGCAGTGCGCATTCACGATCTCCGAGGTGTCCCATATTTGGAATAGACGGCCGTCCAGTGCTTCTAGCTTTTCCATGATGGTCTAGCTTTAATCGACTAATGAATTCAACTATTAAATTAACCATTGTAAGAGAATCGATGAATAAACTGATTTTTAGATGCTGGCTTCAATTTTCCGAATATGTTTGAATTCCTGGACTTGTGTTCTTTTAGTTTCTTTTGTGATTTAACAGAAAAGTATATCAGCAGAAAAAAGGAATTATCGCACTAGTTAATCGATCTCAGTCGACGAGATGTTAGAAATTCGACTATTCATTAGTGAATAGGAATTTAGTCTTGTAATATCCCATTTAAAGCCTAAATACCTCACTTACAACATTTTCTATGTATTATTGAGTAATAACGGTTAGGTTTTTGAAGAAAGAATAATTTCCATGATTTTTCATAGTTGAAATCATGAGTCAATTGAAGCTAAACCACCTTCGAAAACCTGGAAGCACTGGACGACCGTTTCGTCCTATTATGGGACTCCTCAGCAGTGCGGCCGTCCAGTGCTTCCAGGTTTTTGATGGTGGTCTAGCTTCAATTGACTGATGATTTCAACTATGACAAATACTGAAATCTCCACAAAACCCCTTCTAATTTCCATGATGTTTTAAATGTGTCTTACCATACTCTTAATGTTAATTAAAACGTTTCTATCAATTAACTTTAATTAGATAAATACTGTTCAATTTTCAATATCTTTCTAAATTAACTTTATTTTCAAAAAATAAAAAAACTATCCAGAAATCAACCTCCAAATGTGGAAACTATTGGTGTACTAACTCAAGAATTCTTTGTATTACTTTCAATATTACCATCGTTTATAACACAATTGCCAGCAATCTGGTTTACTCATCAGTCATTACAGAATGTGATACAACATGAAAATTATAGAATAAAAGACACATTTGAAATGAATGACAATCAAAAGATTAAATTCAGTCAGAATGTTTTGAAACAGTTACGATATATTGATGGTAATATAGCCTCTTCTGTTGTGAAACAGGTTTTGTTTGTCAAAGGTAGGTGGTAATAATAATAATAATATTATTATTAATAATAGATTATCATAGTTGAAACCATGAGTCAATTGAAGCTAGACCACCTGGAAGCACTGGACGGCCGTTTTGTCCTATTTTGGGACTCCTCAGCAGTGCGCATCCAAGATCCCGCACTCGCAAGACTCAAACCCAGGACCTACCAATCTAGCGCCAGAGAACTTAACCGATAGACCACTGAACCGGCATCCACAGAAACCCCTTCTGATCAATAATAGCTTGATTTATTACTGGAAATTTTGTTACCATAAAGTTTGATCAGTGCTAGTAAATAACAATAGGCTTATAAGTCACTCAGAAACAGCTTATATTTTTCATCTTAACTTCAATTTATGTATGCAAAAGAATTTTGGTCCACCTAGTACAGCCATGATAATAATTTTAATGCTATATTTCTATCTCTTTCTTTTTTTCGCTGGTTTTGCAAATATCTGAAATGTCTAAATCCACTTAGCATTACTTGTTTGAATCTTCCCATTTATGTTTAGGACTACGACTGTTCAGTCTCTTATTGGTATATATGTGCATACTGTGCTTATTGCCTCAATATAGCCTTATTTCACAAGCATTGTAAGCAACGATGGATAGTGACTGGCAGTGGAATTCATGACGCGCATTTCGCCCCATTTTGGACTCCTCAGCTTGTGAAATAATGCTATATCGAGGCAATACGCACAGTATGCACATACGCCATTTAGAGACTGACCAGTTGCAGTTCTAAACATCAATGAGAAGATTCAAACAAGTAATGCTAAGTGAATTTAAAGTTCACCCCGTTGCACAAGCAAGTGGCTATCAGGGCTCATTAGCTGAATGGATAACGTGATGGTGTTTGAAGCGAACGGTACTGGGTTCGAATCCCAGAGTGAACATCAACTGAGATGCAGGTACATCCAGCTGACGAGTCCCAAATAGGACTTGAAGCGCATCCTGGAATCCACTGCTAGCCACTATCCATCTTTGCTTACAATATCTGAAATGTCGTTTCGATTGACTGACCCATAATCTGTAGAAGTATTCTTCGTTTACTTCCATTTAATCCTTATAAAACCTCTATCGTTCACTTAGGAAAAGTTTTCATTTCTAACTTGTAGTCTTATTATTTCAACATAACTCGATAAATATTAAACCCCATATTCTCTCAGCCATTTTGGTATTTAAGTTCTTTCATACCTCTTTAATCATTACTGTTTTCATAGTTTACATCAAGGACTGATCCTATTTGTAATAACACTGAAAATCAGGAGTCTCTGAACAGCTGCTTTATCCTAATACAAGAACACTCAGCAATGAGTATCCACGACCTCACGGGGGATAAGCTATCCAGTGTTTACTGGTTTAAGAATATTCACAAATCTCTTACACTAATATTATTATCATTGTTTCCACCACTATTAAAATTACTCTTCAGTAATTATTATCACTTCAGTCATTTTGTTAACTGTCATTATAACAGTTAGCATATATTTATCGTACTCGGTCATGTCATATTCTTTCACTAGCTTTGTCTGTTCATCTATAATTCGAACCTACATCAGTATAGAAAAACTACTCCTGTGGCCCTCCTATGGTTCCTGTCGATCCAAAGCCCGGATAAATGAGGAAGGTTGGGCATGTGGTCATCAACTCCATCCTGTAAAAAAAATCCTTTCTAAAAATTGCTAACCGGGAAAAACAATCTGAACCATTTAAACTCTGCCCTGAGATTTGAACGATCGTCATTTAGAAGAACTATGACGTCTCATGGTGAAAGCCGAGGTTCTTCGAAAATCACCAGGCCAGTTCTCCCATCCGACAACCAGGAGAACAATGAGTATGGGTTTATGGAATGTCTGGACAATGTGGAAGATTGAAAAGACCGGTGAGATAGCTACAAAATCTGGGAGGCACAACTTGGAGGTGCTCGAAATCAGTGAAACCCATTGGACCCAAGCTGAACAGAAAAAATATAGGCTTGGGAGAGATGCTGCCCTACACTGGTAACGGAAAAGAAAATGCTCCACACACTCAGGGATTAGCTCTGATTCTGTCCAACGTAGCATCAAATCAACCTTCAAATCAAAGAAGGAGGGAATCAAAATGAATGTTATCCAGTCTTATGCACCCACTAATGATAGCAATGACGACGATAAAGATTGGTTTTACGAAAGGCTGCAATAGATCATAGCAAAGTGCTCAGGGAAAGACATGACTATCGTAATGGAAGACTTAAACGCCAAAGTCCGAATAAACAACATCGGATATGAAGATATCATGAGACGACATGGACTAGGAGAAAGAAACAACAGTGATGAGCGATTTTCAAATTTACGCGCTTCCAACATAATAGTTATAGATGGCCCTATATTGCCCCACCAACGCATAAACAAAGCTACATGAGTTTCAAGGGACCGTACTACAGAGAACCAGATAGATCATATTTGCATCACTAAAAATTTCGTATGATGAACGGAAGACACAAGAACAAAGAGAGGAGCTGACATAGTTTCAAATCACTAGTTGGTTGTGGTCAAGGTGAAAATGAATTCAAATAAGCACTGGAAAACTTGAAAGACCGCATTAGAAAGTTTATTACTGTCTTTCTTCGAGATACTGAAAAACTTAAAAAATTCAAGATAGTTCTCAACAACAAGTTCTAACCCTTCCAAAATTTACTCAAAGAAGAGAAGACTACTATGGAGAACAGCTGGAAAGAGATCAAAAAAGCATTGAAAACGAAGTATGAACACACCAGTTTTTATACGATTTACTTACAGTCAAACTTGTCTAAACTAAACGGATTAGTATTTAACATTAATTAATTCAATGACTTACTGTGTGAGCACAGTATAATACAATTAAACACCAACGATCAGCAAACACAACTAATTGACTAAGTCACCTAACTACTATCCAAAATATGATTACCTGTTATAGACGATCAATTTCACATGTCAATCGCATAATAATCGATTAAGTTATGGCTCTTCATATCGGTTCTATTAATTAAGTATTCAAATGTTCCATTTTACAATTAAGATAGTCTCTCATATATTGTGTAGACAAATGTATTTCTCTTCTCTCATCAATCAATCATGGTTTACTTTACAGAAGTACTTCAACAGTTCTGATCATTTAGTAGAATATTGATGTAGACAAGTGTTGATCTATTTCAGATATTGATACTATATCGAATTTGGCAAATGAAGAAGACATTTGTTCAGAAATCTTCTACACATTTATTGAACCAATAATTACATCTATTTTCATTGGTGAGTAAAACTTTTTTTTCACTAATTTATCACCACTTTTTTTAGTCACAACAAAGGATTCACAACAGAAAATATAGAAAACTAGGAGAAGGTCGCCTTTCATAACTTGAGGGATTAAATCATGTGTTCATTTTGGTTAGAAAAAAACACATTGAAAGCCAATGAGCACTGGACAACAGTTTAGTACTTTAATGAAACTATTCAGCAATGTACATCTACCACCTCAGCATAGATAGAATCAAGATAATTCTGTCTATCAGCGAACATTTATCTTTTAGATCGTTGAACCAGCATTTAATAGTATACATGTTCATTAGATTGGGTGACCATCTTCCATTCCTTATGGTAGATAACTGTCTCACACCTGATGTGGTTGAACTCCATTGGTCATTGTTTCTCACTAGAACTCTTAGAGTAATATCTCATTGTCACTTTTGTTTGACTTTTTAATAGTTGTAAGGTGTTATTAATCCTCATTAGAAAAACTTGACGATAACTTTATTTATTATGATATTTGTTCCTTGCATAATATACTTGATATATCAAATACACTGTAGTCGCTTCTCAGTAGATTGTAAGCTTCTCATTATAGCATGTAATTAAATTATGCAGTTAACATAGAAAATCAATTAATGAAAACGTATCTTAAAAAAGCACGAGGAAACCTCCAGAGGCTCTAAAGGAGCCGAAAATATTCCAACCACCTCGAACCTGATAAAACCCTATCGAGTATCAATGTTCCATGCTGTAACTGAACAATTGTATAACCTTCCTACTTGCGGACTATCCGGATTATAATATTGGTATAGTCAATACTAAAAACTATGAGTACCCCTGTTCTCCTGTACTTTTTTGATTCGTACCCAATAATCACTCCCTCTGTTTCTTCCGTCTTTTGATTAGCGATTGTGGGTTTCTATACGTTCGAGTGCTGGTAGTTGTATACCGTATTCTGCCGTAATCATGTAGAGGACATAATAATTCCATGTTTTTTTATTTGGCTAAAGTTATTTATTTTAATACTTTTGAATCTATCTAATTTGAATCTATCTACGCATACCCCATTCAGTATTGAAGACATCATAATTTGTACCATCTAATATATGCGCTATATCTCTATTAAATGTCTATCAATTTTTTAAATGACTTGAAACAGAATTATGGTCCTGAAGTATCATGAATTGACTGAAGTTAAAAAATTTAAAATATTGAATACCAGCTCGCTTGACTGAAAGTTAAGGACTTCTTTAAAATCTTGAAGGCTCTAGGTTCAACACTGTGTGGGATCGCGAATGTACACTTCTGATGAACCTCGTACTGGAAAAAAAAAGCTTCACAGTAATTCCTAGTTCGGAATGGTCACTTCATTAAAGTCAGAAAGTGTTGTGAAACTCCAAAGTTGTAAACGTTTCTACATTTTACGTAGACCACAAAAATTATTGGATGAGTTTTAATGTTAAGTAAGAGAAATATTTCATAAGATTTGCACAGATTTCCCATGGTCATGTAAATATTGAATAGTTTGCTTGATATGACTTAAAATCTATAAAAGGCAAAACTATAATTTATGGACGAACCAATCAGATTCAGGATAACAAGTCTTGGATTTTGACGCGAAATTCATTCATTCATTTGGCTAAATAGTGTTTTGATATCATAGCTGATGTTCTTTCGTGATGAAAACCATAAATCTAATTCCTAACCCTAACCATCAACTGTTAATCATAATCTTTATTCTTTACATTGGTTTATAACCCTCACTTAACTCTAGTAAGTAGATATGTTTCCTCAAAGTCACTTAAGCGTCACTCAGAGTCGTCCACAAATTACTTGTTGAAGTTATACATTCGGATGAATTTATATAACATTTGTCACAGATTTAGAAGTGATTACTGAATAGTGTTTCGATGAAAAAATTTTAAACATTCAAAGGTGTGCAACCTGTAGTGAATATTGTCATGGAGTTTATCAAAACGATTGTACTGAATAATGAATAAAATCAAATCGGATTCTATGTGGTTAGGTGTTTTTCTATCAGCTGTCTGTAGACTAATTATTAAATCGTTTACTATGTACAGATTCGTTCAATTGGTTTCGACCCATAGCCTAAGTGTGAATGCTGATGGTGCTACCCGGTTAACCAAACCAAACGAAGTGGGTCGGGGTTGAAACCTGTCATTTAGAGATTGTAAGTCAAACTTCCTAACTATTGACCCACTATTCTATTCAGGTTTTTTTAATAAACATAATTGGATACTTAGGATGAGGAAAATGATCTTTCTATGAGAATGCTGTTTATTTGAACACACATGAGTTTCGGGAAATCTAACAGCTGAATTTTAATTTGTTTAGATAGCTCTATCATAAGGAATATTTTGCATTTCTTAAATCACTAAACGATCTTAGTTAAAATACCATTGAAAACGTGATAAAAAATCTAGAATCTCCTCAAAACCCTATACTGTTGATAATCATATGCTCACTAGCTACGAGGTACGAGATATAATTCCTGAAGTGCTGGTGAAAAACTATGACCACTGAAGTTCAACTATGTCAAATATGAGTTAGTCATCCGCCTAAAACAATAAAAGATGGTCAAGCAATAACTTAAATGAATTGAATTTAAACATGTACACCATCAGATGTCGTTTAAGCAGCTTAGAGGTTAAGAGTAGCGAGACCGTGTATGGATATTGCTGAGGAGTCTCATCCAGTGCTTCCGGTTTTCAGTGGTAGTTGAGAACTACGGAAACTCCATAAAATTCTATACTGAAAATAATTTGTGACTGAATATACATAGTACTCTTGCAATATATATTTACATTTCTTACAATCTTGTTTAACTTAATATAGAACAAAAATCCCTTTACTTACAAGTAAATACTTTTCAAACTTTCCTTTAGGTTATTTATCTCAGTCCACTTTATTGTATATATGGGATCAGTTAATGTTATGTATTGTTGGAGCTGAACCAACTGAATCAAGTTTATCATATATTTTAAGTTGTTTCACAGCTATCTTCATTTTTCTGTGCTGGATTCGAATTCCAAGTCATTCCATATCTGATATAAACCATTATGAACAGATAAATACAGTCAGTGAACGAAAAGAAATAAGTAGGGAAGAAATTGCTTCATTAAATGAACAGTTCCTTATCATTGGTCCAGAATTAGAAAAAGATGATTTCCAGTTTTTGGTAAATAATATATTCGTGAAAATCATGTTTATATTAAAGATGAAGTCAGGGAATTTAACTATCAATGAATTTGAATTCATTTGATATTGTTTGGTTGAATCTTCCCATTGATGTTTAGGACTGCAATTGATCAATCTCTAATTGGCCATATGTGCAATATGCACAGTATGCACATATGAGCAATAAGAGACTGACCAATTGCAGTCCTAAACGTCAATGGGAAGATTCAACCATTGCACTACCAAGTGGCTATCAGGACTCACTAGCTAAGTGGATAACACGATGGCGTTTTAAGCGAACGGTACTGGATTCGAGTCCCAGAGTGAACATCAACTCTGAAATGCTGGTACATCCAGCTGACGAGCCCCAAATAGGATGAAACGCGCGTCCTGGATCCCACTGCTAGCCACTATCCATCTTTGCTTATATCAATGGATTTGCCGTAATTATTGTATTAAGAAAGCTTATGAACCTCTATATTAACCCTGTTACTACAAGAATTGTAGAAGTACAATGAAATGGATAGAGAGATCTTTCCTAAAGAAAATGGACTTGTTTATCAATAATCTATTGATTCTAACAGTAATTTTCATTACTTTAAAGCTAATGGAGTAAATCAAAATGAAATTTTAAACAATACATAGAAATATCCATATTAAAGGCTCACTTAATTGAAATATTTACTTAAGTAGAGTAAAATGACTTTCAACCACCATCTTATCTCAACATAGTGCAGGCAATGTCGAGTCACCTAGACTAATGACCACATCGCAACTTGATCGATAGGATTCCATCTGTAGTAAGAAGGACCTGACACATATGACATTGATCATCACCCAGTGATCAATCAATTATAGAAAACATGGTGATATTCAAAGTTCAAAAAAGTCTATCATGGACTATAATGTGAATTTATGGAAGAGCAGAGAATTCTGTATATGTGTTTTTCACATCAACTTTAGACTAAGTCTTAAATTGCTTAAATGCTTCATAATACCAATCGACAGAAATAACTAAAACTAAGCTTTTATTTGAGATTAGTCGGTTGAATGTTGAGTGTTTAAACTGTTTATGGTCACTAATTCATGTAAAAGAGGAAATATGACTTTAAAAAGTTAGATGGATTTAGGTAACCAGATAGAAACTATGGCCCATGGTTTTGTACCATTTGAAGCTCAGCAACAATGCATACCTACAACTTTATTGAAATAATACACCCTGGTAAGTTTAAATCCGGGTCACTCAGTTTCATAAATCATGCTGCCAACGACTTGATTCACTATTAAGATATTTACAATATTTGATCATTGAGTAGTAGTAGTCTATATCCTGCTTAATAAGTTTCTTTCTAATAATTTAATGAAAAGCACATTAGCTAACACCGTGAGAGATAAAAATAATTGTCTATGGGATTATATTAGAAGGGGATTTGTGGAGATTTCAGTATTTTTCAAAGTTGAAATCATGAGTCAATTGAAGCTAGACCACCATCGAAAACCTGGAAGCACTGGACGGCCGTTTCGTCCTACTATGGGACTCCTCAGCAGTGCGCATCCACGAACCCACTCTCTCGGGATTCGAACTCAGGACCTACCAGGACTTCGGCTCGAAACTGGTAGGTCCTGGGTTCGAATCTCGTGAGGCGGGATCTTGGATGCGCACTGCTGAGGAGTCCCATAGTAGGACGAAACGGCCGTCCAGTGCTTCCAGGTTTTCGATGGTGGTCTAGCTTCAATTGACTCATGATTTCAACTTTGAAAAATATGGGATTATATGTCTAACAGTTCCTAATAGTTAAGACATGTGAACGTGTAGTGTCGGTGTTAAGCCCATATACCTTATTCTAGCTTCTGGGCAAGCCAATTTACCTATTCATCTTGAGTTACGTTTTCACCTTGTTAATTATTCACTTATCAATCCTGAATGTGTTTTTTAATACGAGCGTATGTGTGTACACTTCTCATCCTATTCATCACACGTCTGTAACTTATTCTTATCTGACTATAAATACTGACTAACGCTTGATAAAAGCGAGTTGGCTTACGCGCTGTGTGTCATTTTCGTTTCGCTCTCTCCTACTCGCTTCATCACTCCGATTTCTTGTCTAGATCAGTGGGTGTACAAAATATATGTATTCGAAATGCATTCTTGTATTTGACTTCTTTAAGTCCGTTATTCATCAACACAGATTAAGTCATGTATTACATACGAAAATAGACAGAATATGTATTTTGAACACAATCATTCATACGGTCTAATTGGGGTCAGATCTATGGCACCTATAACGGATAGGAGAGTTCAAAACTAATATCTAGAATGAAATGTACACAAAAATCTTAGGACTGTGTTCTTACCTTCTGAGCCATTGTTGTATTCATAACGACATGGGAAAAAACTTGATGGGAATTCAATAGCATAATTATGCTAAGGCTCAAATTTCAAAAGACCGGAATATTAGTTCCACAAAAGAGGTATGGATTTCAACTATATTATATACTATGTCAACAGAATAGTAGTCATATTTTCCCATTGAACTCGTCTTAGTATGTTATATTTAAAATAGTATTTATATATTTCAAAATATCCCTTCACTTTTATAATCTCACAGATAAAGAAATATTTCATCATGGATATTTTCTGTCTGTTAACTGGTACACAACAATATAACCCTAATACTTGTCTTTTATCAAATGATGAACTTCGTAAGTGATACATAGTTAGTTGAATATATATTCAACATATTATTGTTTTGATGAAAATCAATAAAGAGTTTGATAGTAATTTCTGAATGTTCTTGTAATGGATGGATTCATATGTATATGTATATCAGATTTTGTAATGTTAAATAGATGCTTTAGAATGTTCTCCCGATTATGTAATATGTCATTGGGCATGGTATTAAAATTACTTGATACTAACTTTTCTGATTTAGCTACTATATGATCAACCAGGTCTGTTGTGAGATATTAACTCACTGAAGTTAATTGGTGAACGGTTGCTCGATTTCGTGGATTGGTTGAAGTTAGACATTAACACCGTTGAATGCTGGATCAGTAATCTAGTGGTTTAGCGCTCGCGCTCGAGAGTGATAGGTCCTGGGTTCAAATCTCGTGAGGCGGGATCTTGAATGCGCACTGCTGAGGAGTCTCATAATAGGACGAAAAGGGCATCCAGTGCTTCTAGGTTTTCCATGGTGGTCTAGCTTCAATTGACTCATGATCTCAACTATATAAACCGATGCTATTATTGTTGTTGATTTTGGTGAAGCTTAGCTTTAAAACTTTCATTAGGGGACGAAATAGTCAAGAATTGAATTAGATCATGTTCTAAACTTATAACTGTTCTTATTTGTATCAAGTTCAGTAAAGTTCATTAGTTAAAACATACTAAAAAAGGATAGATCATAACAACCCAATATATATTATAAGCAAAGATCGATAGTGGCTAGCAGTGGAATCCAGGACGCGCGTTTCGTCTTATTTGGGACTCAGTAGCTGAGTGGATTACGTGATGGCGTTTGAAGCGAATGGTACTGGATTGTAGTCCCACAGTGAACATAAACTCTGAGATGCAGGTACATCCAGCTGACGAGTTCCAAATAGGACGAAACACGCGTCAAACTGGATTCCACTACTAGCCACTATCCATCTTTGCTTACAATTCTTGTGAAATAAGACTATATCGAGGCAATACGCACAGTATGCACATATCCCAAATAGAGACTGACCAGTTGCAGTCCTAAACATCAATCGGAAGATTCAAACAAGTAATAATAAGTGAATTTAAACCCAATATATTCACTATTTATTTGTTCATCATTACCTTTTTTTTATTTTTATGAAAATTATATCCAATTTTTTCATTTTTTTTCAACTTAAACACCAGTAACATCAACTGGATGGTCATCAACACTACAAAAGTCTTATCTTATAGATCCTAGTAAACGTAAAGAACAAAGATTATTACATTATGCAGAGTTGGAAAGGTGATTATCTTTAAACTGTATGGATATATATTTTTTTAATATTTAAAACCTAGTAAAACGTTCATTCATTGTTACACAAACTGTAAACACATTTCAACTTGGCAAAAGTATACAGAAAATTGATTGAGTTCGCATCAAATTATTTCTGATTGATATCTACTATATTCGTAAATATTAATCATGAGTCGATTAAACCTAGGCAACCATGGGAAACCTGGAAGCACTGTATGGCTGTTTCGTTCTAGTATGAGACTCCTTAGCAGTGACCATACACGATCCTACACATGGGACTTGAACCTAGGACCTTCGGTTTGGCGCGCGAACACGGTGTCGGGCAGAGAAAAATATCTACTTCATACAATTGATGAATGGTTGCGCAAGATCATGGATTGATTGAATTTAGACATAAACACCGTTGGATGTTGGCTCAGTGGTCTGGAGGTTAAACGTTCATGTGCGAGACCGAATGTCTTGTGTTCAAGTCCCTCAAAAAGGATCTCGGGTGAGCACTACTGAGCATTCCGATACTAGAATGAAACAGCCATCCAGTTTTTCCAGGTTTTCCATAGCGGTCTAGCTTAGACAGACTCATTAATTTAACTGTTTAAATTTATCAAGCGATGTGGATGTACGAAATAATTAAAATCATCAAAAACTTCAATAATAATTTGATTGTTAAAGCCGTAAATTGATGAATCAATCTATACTGTTTAATTTATTCAAAATTACAGATATCTAAACATTATAGATTTGAATTAATTATTGTTAACTTTAAATTGTAGATTACGAAATACTGAAGATCATCTAATGAAAATGCAACATCAACTAGATACTTATAAAACTAAACTAAAAGAAGCATCAGATGAGATTTCTAATAGTAAACGTTTACTTAGTCAATATGCAACAAAACAAGATTATTCACCTAACAAGGTATGTTTCCATAAAATTTTATGGAGTACTGAAAACATTAAACTCCACCTGTAACCCTACCGGGAATTACTGCCACTTCCAAGCCCGTATAAAAGAGGAGGGTTGGGCATGCGGTTAGCAACCCCATCCCGTGGAAAACTAACTCTCTAAAAATACGCTAACCAGAAAACACGCTGTGTTCATCATACTATGCCTCAGGAACGTGTATATGTCCACTAACATGAAAGCTATTTTAATAGAATTATGGAAATAATGTTTAATCATTTAATATTTAGTTAAACTCAAGTACTTCCTTAATTGTTTTGCATAAATGTATGGCAATTAGTTCATTTATTCACTTCTTTTTAAAAGATTGTTTGACCTTAAGAAAAAACGGATTAGTCACACTTCCTTTTTCTCGTACATTTTCTAAATCAAAACTTAACAATATTACATTAAAGTAGACAAGAAGTGGTTATGGTTTATTGATTGGTAATTTAGTATGTTTCATTTGTAGCTTACAGTAGAATCTAAGACTCTCGTTTCGTCCTGTTCGGAACTCCATGATGATATCCAAACTGTGACCATAACCCCGTAACTTTTGCTTCAAACGCCCATTGAATCGTCTTCTTATCTATTTATTCTTAACAGCCTTCAACTTATTCAACGGATATTCTGATTAAATACAGTCCTAGTTATCAATAACGGGAAATCACTACCCCTTTAGCCTATCATAGTATTACTGTAGTTCATATAAGTAATAAATCACTTGTAAATAACACTTTAATGAATGATCAATCACCCTTTAGTCGTGATTTATTCATTAGTACAATCATTCAGCTTTTAAGCATATTAATGAACACTAGTTAACTGTTATTACATTATAAGCAAAGATGGATAGTGGCTAGCAGTGGAATCCAGGACGCGCGTCAAGTCCTATTCTGGACTCGTCAGCTGGATGGACCTGAATCTCAGAGTTGATGTTCACTCTGGGACTCGAACCCAGACCCTTTCGTTTCAAACGCCATCGCGTTATCCACTCAGCTACTGAGTCCTGATAGCCACTTGCTTGTGCAATGGGATGAAGTTTAAATTCAAATAGTATCAGGACTCAGTAGCTGAGTGGATAATGCGAGGGGCGTTTGAAGCGAAAGGAACTGGGTTCGATTCTCACAGTGAACATTAACTCTGAGATGCAGGTACATCCAGCTGACGAATCCCGAATAGGACAAAACGCGCGTCCTCGCTTCCACTGCTAGCCACTATTCATCTTCGCTTACAATGCTTGTGAATTAAGTCTATATCGAAGCAATACGCACAGTATGCACATATGTCAATTAGAGACTGACCAGTTGCAGTCCTAAACATCAATGGAAGGATTCAAACAAACAATATTAAGTGAATTTGTTATTACATTAGTTTTATCAGTAGTAAAATGCATTGTTATGTAATTTTAACATTATTCACTATAGTAAAACTATCATCAGTAGTTAGTGATTGAAAATAAAATACTTTCTGAGAAATAATTCCCAGTTTTATAAACCTTGATAAAGTAATAATATTCGCACTAATTGATTAGAATTCAAACCTCTAGAGATTGATTTGGTTTAACCATGAAGTTTTTATTGTTTTTCTGAAAACAAAATCAGCCCAAACTCCGGATGGTGATGAACTGTTAGAATACCTTCACTTGTGAATTATTTTATTGATACAAAGTTTGATTGGTTGTTATTTATGCGTATCTGTTCGTTGTAATAGTGTTCTTTTTTTCTTTGGAATCATGAACCGTTCAAAGTTAGACCATCGTCGAAAAACTGGAAGCACTTGATGGCTGTTTCGTTCTAGTATGGGACTCCACAACAGTTCCCATCCACGACCCATAGGCGGGATTAGAATCCAGAACCTTCAGTTTCACGCAAACGCTTAACCTCTAGGCCAGTGAGTCGGCACCAAAAATGTTAACGTCTAACTTCAACCAATCAGCGATTCTGCACGACCATCTTCTACGTTCTTCAGCGTTTAACTGCGTCACACCCAACACGGTTGAAATCCACTGGTCACTGCATCACATAAGACCTCCGAGAATTTTCTCTCAAGGCTAGTGCTAATTGTGTGTACAACTGATGCAGACGGATATAACTAATATGTATCACCAGTCGAGAATGGAATGCCTGGTGGCAGAAGGTTGAGAAAATCAAAGAGAACGAGAACAGAGGCTTATTGTTATGGGAACGAAAGGACAACAAAGTCTGAGACAAATGATGAATATTTTGCAAATGAAGTATTTACTGTATGGTACACAAATTTCATTAAGATATTCTGTAATGTTGTATTGAAGTACATTCGATTGTCCCCATTGGTGTTCTCGTTCACGACATAGTTAGCACTTTTATTGTCTTTGTCCTTAGTCTTATTACTTGCTTTATGGTTGTTTATGATTTTCCTAGTTGACTAATAACTTGGATTTTATTTAACTATGTTTACTGATTGCTGATTGACCTGAATGTCAAATTACTAAAAATTCCCTGGTATTCTTTATGTTTCCATCGTCCGAAATTTCCACTTTCCTCAGTCGAATACTTACGTTACTTACTTACTTTTGCCTGTTACTCCCAATGGAGCATAAGCCGCCGACCAGCTTTCTCCAACTCACTCTGTCCTGGGCCTTCTTTTCCAGTTCTTGTTCATTCTTCTCATGTTTATCTCTATTTCTCGGCGTAATGTGTTCTTTGATCTTCCTCTTCTCCTTTAACATTCAGGATTCCATGTGAGGGCTTGTCTTGTGACGCAATTAGGTGATTTCCTCAAGGTGTGCCCAATCCACTTCCAGCGCTTCCTCCTGATTTCTTCCTCCGCTGGAATCTGGTTTGTTGTCTCCCACAGTAACTTGTTGCTGATAGTGTCTGACCATCTCATCCGAAGTATCTTGCGTAGACAGCTGTTAATAAACACTTGTAATTCTGGATAATGGCTTTCGTAGTTCTCCACGCCTCCACCCCATACAGAAGAACTGTCTTGACATTTGTATTGAAAATTCTAACCTTGGTGTTGGTTGACAATTGTTTTGAGCTCCAGATGTATTTCAGTTGTAAGTATGAATACGTATCCAAAATTGTCTACGTATACAAACCATTAATTAAAAGTACTTGACATTCGATAGTTCATTGGTACACATTCGAATGAAAATGAATCATGTCAACTGCAATAAAATATTTGTTCATTCTAATGTTTAATTTTATCATTTAACATAATTGAAATCACGCGTCAATTGAATCTAGACTACCATGGAAAACCTGGAAGCACTGGACGGCCGTTTCGTTCTATTATGGGACTCCTAAGCAGTACTCATCCACGATCCCGCCTCTCGAGATTCGAACCCAGGACATTTCAGTCTCGCGCCAGAGCACTTAACCGACAGACCACTGAGCTGGTCGGCATCCAACGGTGTTAATGTCTAACTTTAACCAATGCACAAAGTTCGAGCGACCATTCACCAATTGTCTTCAGTGAGTTTTTATCTCACAACAGACGTGGTTGAACTCCACTGGTCACTGCTTATTATTTAACTTAATATGTCAAATGATAAAATAAATAATTTCTTTGTTTTATCATTTCATTATTGATCAAGGTTGATGAACTTAACGATCACAAAATGAATTCATCATCATTAAATAAAATAAAATGGAAATCAAATTTACATAAACTAACACTTTTAAAAAATGTGGCACAAAATTTTGGCGCGAATACGGAAAATTCAAATCCATTAAAACAATCGCAAGTTATACAAACTGAAAATGATTGAATTATTTTAAAAAAATTAGAAAAATGATTTTTTGAAATACAGTGATGTTTTAGCAGTTTAACTATTTGACTACATTATTCTATTGAAACCTGTTATAAACTGTAGGATACTTGTTATAACGATAGGGTTTCTTGTTATAACAGTTCTTTCACTTTTTACACGAATGTGGGACGTTAATTTACCTTAGACTACACTAGATTTCCCACCCAGTGTCTACTCTACAGGACTTCAACACAACTCAGATCAAGAACACGAGATTAGCCTGACTAGAACGTCAATATGTTTTCACACCAAAATACGACACGAGGAACAGTCAATCAATAACAGTTAATACATAATAAGGATAGGGGGATATATATAGCACATATAACACCTGTCATCCTATCTAATGTCTGACTCGGAAAAACAACAATCATTGTAATCTTCGCTCACACATCAAAACCATACTAACTTGCTAGATGGTCTACAAGATGCTAACGAGGAAATAATTATTAAAATGCTTAATCTGGAAAAGATAAACGAATTTCTCTGTTGTATCCCAAAGCTAAATAAAACCAAATGGTGATTGATTGATAAATGAGTATCAAACTATGTCATAGTTGAAATCACGAACTGATCTTGGCTAGACCATGAAAGGAAATTAGGAAGCACAGGATAGATGTTTCACCTAAATGTAAGACTATTCAGAGATAAAAATCTATGAACCCACTACAGGAAGTCATAGCTTGGTCTCTCTTGAAAACGTTTTTCAGTGGTTCTCTAGCTGCTATCAGTTCGTGGTATAAACTATGTGAATTCTTCAATCTACATTGTTAGTGGGACATAGATTGGATGTTTCATGTATGCATGTTTTATGCATGATGGTGTTGCTGCTTGCTGATTAGCTAATTTTAAACCGACCAGCCCGGGCATATTATTGAAGAGAAATCTATAGGCTTCTTATGCATATACTATAAATATATGAACGTTATTCAAACTAGTGATTCCTGTTCACTTATCATTATTTTTTTGAATACAATTTCATTCCTGTTCAACGTGTTCTGATTTTGGTGGTCTTGTCGAGTGTCATCGTATAAGAATACTAAGCAATAGGAATAGCTGGGTCGTTTATATAGCAAAACACATTTATAACAGTGGCGACGGGGAAAAAGGAAAATTCATTCAAAATGCCGATATCAGTCGACCAGCTTAACCGAATATTGCAACAACAGCAAGCACAACTTGACGCACAAATGCGGTTGTTGGAGACTCTGACGCAACAGTTTAGCATCCAAAACTCGAGTTCACATGCTAATTCAAGTACTTTGTGGGGAGTAGTGTAACGTCGTGTACTATATTACACCTACATAGCTTATTCTAGTTTCTGGACAAGCCAATTCACCTATAACGTTATGAGTCATATTTTGATCATATTAATTATTCCCTTATTGACCTTGACTATTTTTTTTATATGAGCGTATGTGTATGCACACTTCTTATCCTACCTATCACATGTCTGTCATTCATTTTAGTCTGACTATAAATGTTGATTAATGCTTGCTTATAACGAGTTGGCTTCACAGCCATCTCCACTCTGTGTCATCTTTCCTTCGCTTGCTTACATTTGCTAATGTGCTCACTGCCTTCTAGCCCATGTTATTTATCAATAAAAATGTAGTTGCTGCTTCCCTTTGTCTTCTGATATTATACACCGTTCAGATTGTTATAATAACGGTTATCAAGACGATCGATTAACGAAGCACTACACTACAACTTCTTGTTATGCAGTTGCCAGCAGCATTCCAGAATTCTATCATGACCCCGAATGTGGAAATACATTTCTCACGTGGTTCAAGCGTTGGAAGACACATTTAGAATAGAGTTCTTTAAACAAGATGACGCATGGAAGACTCGACTGTTCATGCGCAAGTTGGGAAGTCATGAACATGCACGCTATGCTGATCATATATTACCAAAGTTACCTCGAGAGCTCACTTTCGAGGAGACAATATCTCAGCTGTCAGAAATATTCGGCGAATCTTCCTCATTGTTTAGTACTCGCTACCAGTGACTTAATTTGGTGAAACGAGAAACCGGTGAATATGGTGTTCTAGCAGACATCGTCAACAGAGAGTGTGAACGGTTCAAGTTACGCTCGTTGACAGAAGATCAATTTAAATGCCTTATATTCATCAAAGATCTGCAGTCACCACAAGATGCTGAAATTAGAACCAGACTTCTGACTCGTTTGGATCAAGACCCAAAAGTCACACTCAAGACATTGACTGATGAGTGTAAACGACTACAAAACATCAGACACGACAATCAGTTAATTGAACAGGTAAATTCTAATCTAACCTGCAGTAGTGTAAATGCTATGACTAGGTTAAAAAGTCAGAAGCCGAATAAAACTCATAACAAACCAACAGATGCCTGTTGGTTATGCGGCGATTGGCATTATGTACGGTTCAGCCCATTTAAGAAGCATAAATGTCAGATGTGCAAAAGACGTGGACATAAAGAAGGCCATTGTCCACCGAATCGTACGTCCCAGCCCAAGAAGAAGTATAAACGTCCTCCACGTGTGGTGAAAGCAGCTGAGTCTAAATCTCTTTCTCTGGTAGCAGCTTTTCAAACAGACTATGACATTCGGAGAAAGTATGTTACGATCCAGATTAATGGTATCGCGGTTCGTCTTCAAATTGACACAGCATCCGATATTACTCTAGCGTCTAGAGAGACGTATAACTTGCTGGGAAAGCCGCCAATGAAGCCATCGAAGAAAACGGCTAAAAATGCATCTGGAGGTGTACTAAAACTAGTTGGTGAATTACAATGTGAATTTTCCTTCAATGGAAATAACTGTAAAGGGGTGTGTTATCTAACAGAACGACCGAACCTTGATCTACTTGGTCTAGATATGTTAAAAAAGCTTGGATTAATGGATATACCCATCAACAGCGTGCGTAACGTGTCGTGTCCATCATTAGACACTACTTCATATGCAAAAAAGACAGGTGAAAAGGTTCCAGAAATACGGAGTGTAGCAGCAGCGGCAATTCGAAACAGTCCACTGTCGTCAGATAAAGTCAGAAAAGACTTTTCAGAATTTTGTCAGCAGAACGGAATCAGGCACATCCGAACACCTCCATTCCATCCGCAATCTAATGGTCAGGTAGAACGTTTTGTTGGTACGTTCAAAAATGCTCTAAAAATTCAAGAGGGGAGGGTACCACCGAAGAGATCTTAAAGAGGTTCCTGCTTATCTATCGCTCTACACCGAACCCTCAAACAACAGATGGGGTCTCTCCTGCGGAAGCGTTACTTGGCAGAAAAATAAGGACACATTTCGATGTCATCCGTCCGACGCCAGCTCGTGAGCCCCAACGAAACTTATCGATGGAAAAGCAGTTCAATCGACACCATGGGGCACAAAGACGATTGTTCACGGTGGGTCAAAAAGTACTTGCTATGGACTATCGTGGTAATCATCCTACGTGGACAGCTGGTCGGATCGTGAGAAAGAAAGGGAATGTGGTTTATGAGGTGTCAGTTGGCTCAGCAGTTTGGATACGTCATGCTAACCAACTGAAAGCAACTTCGATAGCCAGCAGCGAGAATCGACATCGAATACCTCTTGACGTTCTGCTAGACACCTTTGAAATCAAAACGCCCCGAACAGACAAGTCAGTTTCTGTGCAAGCAAAGGGTGATACAACTTCCTTATTGCCTAGACGATGGACAGATCGAAAGCGCAGGCCAGTCACTCGGTTGCAGTTGGACCCTAGCACCAGACCCTACGAATCTGCTCAAAGGGGAGGTGTTAGCGGAACATAAATTGGATTAAAGCATGTTTCATGCATGATGGTGTTGCTGCGCGCTGATTGGCTAATTCTAAACCGATCAGCCCGGGCATATTATTGGAGAAAAATCTAGAAGCTTCTTATGTATATACTATAAATATATGAACGTTATTCAAACTAGTGATTGCTGTTCACTTACCATTGTTATTTTGAATACAATTTCATTCCTGTTGAAAGTGTTTTGATTTTGGCGGTCTTGTCGAGTGTGATTGTATAAGAATACTAAGCAATAGGAATAGCTGGGTCATTTATTAGCAAAAATACAATTATAACATACAGAAAGCCCTAGACTGATAATTGTCATTTGCTGATAGATGACTGGTTCCGAGATGTGATTCCTGGAGTTCATGTGCGAAACTATGACTAGCAAAGTTTAATTATATCGGTGTGGAACAGTTTTACCTCACCGGCACTGTAAAATAGTCACTCTTGAATTGATTGACGTTAGCTATGCAAACCATAGATCCTGGCTGAGTGGTCTGGAAGTGAAGCGTTTACGCTCGATATCGAAGGTCCTAGGTTCTATCCCTGGTGGGCGAACACTTCAGATGGAGTCCCAACTCATTGAGAAACTGTTTTTCTGTACTTCCTAGTCTTCAACGGAGGTCTAACTAGGATCAGCTCGTGATTTGAATATTGGTAATCCTACGATATCCGCAAAACTCTATACAAGCAATTTCATATTTATATTGTAGTCAATGTTTTATAGATTCTACCAATCAAGTTGGAATTCCATCACTAATCTAAGTTACTTTCTATCGCGTGATTTATATTATCATGTTAGAGGTGGACGCAGGTGATTGATAGGCAAAACTTGATCTTCAGTTTAGTGCTTGCTATCACATGTCAGAAGCGAGTTATACGTATTATGTGAAAGTGAATAATGATTCATGAGAAATTCGAAACTATATTATTTATTGTTACAATCACCCGCGCTACCACCAGTGGAACAATTTAATTTACAACTAATTCCTTCTAAGAATAAGTTATTTTCACTCATAAATCATTGAATGGTGACCAATACCATGCTTCTCTAGCCTTTATTGGAGTTCGAATTATATTAACCAAGTTTTTTAATCCATTTGCAAGAACATTTAGTCTCTAGGCTAAATCTAATTTCAAGAGATTTTTAATTATGAAGTGTCATCAATTTCAAAATTTTCATAGGTGAAAAATACACCAGATTACGTTTGATACAGAAAGTAACATACTTTGCCGACAGCCATTTATGAGTGTTGATAAGATATTCTACGACAAAAGAGAATTGAGAAGAAATTTTCCAAGTTTTCACCGCGGAAAGTATGTAGTGACCTGCTTTTTTCGACGAGAACGCGATTGGTATAATAGAAACAATTATTATTATAACCAATTGTACCAGCGATTGTTTTACTGTACTTGTTGTTGTTTAACTGTATCAAAGTCACTTCTCGTTAAGCTATTCATCTTGTTGGTTCGAACTTTCTTACGCTCTGCTCTTATTGCCTGTAATATTTGGCGCGTCTCGGTATTCATTCGATACCACGGGATCGTCATTAAATATACTCTATCTGGACCAGTTCCAGTCTTCTGGTTTGCGAGTTATCGAGGGAACCAAGTCGTTTTGGGGCGCGTAACCTTATTGTAGTGGTGATCATAGTCAAACTCGACTCGACGCCACCTACAAATACATTTCGTGTCTTGGTATTAATCCAATTCTAAACTTTTATGGCGTTTTGTTTAATTAGACGGTTGTTGTAACGGAAGAAATATTGTGTAAATTGTGTAATTTGTACGGTCAGTCTATCAACCTTATTTTCAATTATTGTGGCCTAGTGATGGTTTCTTAATGACATAAAAAGCTCCAAGTGAAGGGACCTCTACAAGCCAAATTGTATTTCAGTAAAAACAAGTTGTCATATGTTCAAATCCCTGAACAATTTAGTATTCTCACTGAGTTTTAATGTACAATAAAATAGTTACTGTTAGCTTTCATAAGGAATGTTCACACTATATAATGAGAACAGAACCGTTAGACTTGCTTTATCAGAACGACAACGGAAGGATTGTTGACATTGTGATCTTCAACAAAAAATGTAGTTCATTAGGAAATATATGAGTAAGCATTATCTTTAATATTCTTTTATTATAACTAAACTAAATCTGAAGCCAATTTTGAAGTTAGATTAATCAACGACTGGAAGTCCAGATCATCTTCGACACTGAGTTGAGCCTAATGTTATTTTAAATGACCTCAATAATTAAGTCAGAGGTGGATATATAGTCTCTTCTCGCCATCGCAAACTACGTTCTTCAACTTGAATGTAGTTTAAAATCATACACTAGGAGTAAAGAAAGATAGGTCAAGACTAGTTTTCCTAAGAACCCGCCAAAAATCCTACATCTAAGACAAGCACTTACCATCATTCATTCAATTATTTCTTATCCACTTACTGTTAATAATGAAAATGACCTTATGTATGCTCTTAAAATACAGAATGAATAAAATAATCTGCGCTTAATTCACTTTGAATAAATATTTCCAATGAAAAGATTACAATCTGATGACAACATTCAAAATGTTTCAATAGTTGATTCTTAATTATCACCGTAGCAAGTCCTTATCGTTTTGATTATTGCATTTGTGAACACAATTATTTCAATCTGTTGACTTAATAATTGGTCCAGTATAAATATTCTGTAGAACTTATTATTCAATGACTTCATAAATCAATCCAAGATTTGTTATAACTTGTAACCGAGTGAATACCCTGTTAACGTATGACGTAATAAGACCACCAATGATAGACCAGGGATTTATTGATCGTACCAGTCACACACGAAACCCG